ATGGAAGAAGGATTTTATGCTTAATAAAATGGATTTAAAGATGAAGATTTGAAAAAATACAAATAAACAAGGATTACATTTGACAAAGGTGGTTAATGGGTTCCATTAAAAGTATAATTATTAAATTTATAATTAGCCACCTACAGTTGATGCAGATGGGAAACCAATTAATTGTAATAAATGTTAGTTACATATTCATCTTAGTTAATCATTTTATTAATTTGCACCTATTTATACTCAAGCAAATTCAATTGGTATAATAATAGCTACAGGATCTATTGGAAAATATTTAAGTTATAGATAAGATCAAGTTAACACTTATTTAAGTAGAGATGGTGGTTTAACATGGATTGAAATAAAAAAAGGTTCATATATTTATGAAATGAGTAATCATGGAGGATTGGTTGTTATGTCTAAAGATTAAGAAACAACAAATTAAATTGTTTTTTCTTGGAATGGTGGAATGGAATGGACTCCATTTAATTTTTTAGATTAGAAGGCAGAAATCTAAAATATAATTACTGAACCTTAGAATAAAGGAACTAGATTTATAGCTTATGGTTCTATTTAATTAGAATCTAATGGTATTAAAACTGAATAGGGATTACTTGCCACTATAGATTTAGATGAATTACATTAAAGGAATTGTATAGGTTAAGATAAACCTGGAGAAATTGGTAGTGATTATGAATTATGGACTCCTTCTGGTTTGGTGAATCCAGAATGTTTATTTGGTAAAAAAATAACTTACATGAGAAAAAGAAGAGAAGCAGCTTGTTATAATCCTGATACATTAGAGAAAATCATTAGTGTAACACCATGTTAATGTTCATAAGAAGATTATGAATGTGATTTAGGTTTTGTGATGAATAATTAATTATGTGTACCAATAAATGGTACTATCAATATTGATCCACCTGCTGAATGCAATGGTTATTATACTATTTCTAGTGGATATAGAAAAATAGCAGGAGATATTTGTGAGGGTGGAGTAGAACATCCATCAATGAGATTTAGTTGTCCAAATAATAAAGGTTGGATATTTGATTGGCTTGTTATTGGAGGTATTATATTTGGATTATATTGGGTTTATTCTAATTAAGATAAAGTTAAAGAATATTTTACTAAATCTGATATGACTCAACTACCACAGTCTAAATCAGATGTATATTTATATATTTTATTATTAGAAATTAATCAAGTAATTATAATAAAAATAATCTAAACAATAGTAATAGTAATAATAATAATAATATTAACCTATCAACCTTGAATAAAATGACTCTTAAGATTAGAAATTTGATGAAGAGTTGATTGAAAAAGAGGAAAATAATTATATGGAAGATGATGGTTCTCATGAATTAATTTGAATATTAATTAGAATTATGACTGTTATTCATTTATTTAATCTTCTAATTAATTCATGTTTATTTGCATCTTTAAGAATTATTGTATTTTTGTAATAAATTAATTTTCCATTCTAAAAAAAATAGTTGAATAAGTTGATATTGATATTTTTTATTAAATAATTTATTGTATCATTTTTTAACCTTCTTTTTCTTCTTATTGCTTTCTGATTCACTTTCTTCTTCTTCACTATATTCCTCATCTTCTTCATCATCAGATATAGAGAAACTGTCATCATCATCGTCATCTGCCTAAATTTATTTTATTCAATTATACCTCTTCCTCATCTTCATCCTCATCCTCCTCATCATCTTCATAAGTTTCAGTCTTTTCTTTAATGACCTTACCTTTCTTATCTTTTCCATCCAATGCTTTTAATTTGGGTAACAAATCCCAAATTTTAGATGTAAAATTTTCATCATCACAAGCTGGATTTTTATCTAGAAATAGATGTGTTAATTGGTCAAGTTATTTTAATTGCTCAATTTCCTATTAGATTAAGAATATCTAATACATTGAATTCTTTTATTTAATTCTTCTTCAAATTCAAAAATGTTAAAGATGGAAATTTCTAAACTATCATTTTTAAGCATCCATCATCTAAAACATTTTCTTCAAAATTCAATGAATTAATATTTTTATACTCAGAGAGATTATTTAAGGATTCTATTTTACATCTTTAAAATCCTAATTATTCTAACCATATTATAAATGCTATACATAAATTTGGAAATGTTTTTAAATAGTCATCAATCTCCTTGTTAAACTCTTGAATCTATATACCTTAGAAATGCAAGAAATTTATTTTAGAATCATTCTGTCTTGATTAAGAACGTCTTTATTTCTGAATTTGCTCTAAGATTTTATTCTTTTATGAGCTTCCCTTCATTTTTTGATTAAGATGATATTGTAATAACAGATAATATTAAATTTAATAAAATGTAAATAATATTTTAGTTAAATGTTCATATGTTGAATCCTTAATCCTTAACTATATATTACAATCTAATCTTGCCATTTATTTTATAATAAAATTAGGTTTTTATTAATAACTTTTAACAAATCTTTTGTCTTCTATAGACCTCAAACTTAGAAATTATTTAAATCCTAATAGTCGTAGATATTAAATAAATAAAGTCTACTGATTTCCATTAATACTCATTTCATCATATTTAACATTAAATTTCAAATTTATCTTATATAATTTAATAAATTAAACTATAAAAATCCGATAGCAAATTAGGAAATCTAATATCAAGGAGTAAATCAAAGCTTTTAAGAAAATAAATCTTATATAAATAAATCTGACAAGATAAATTTTACAACTTCGATTTATTAATATTTTAATTATAATCAATAATGGATATTTATAAATTATCTTAATATAAATTTTACAAAAATCATTGGGTAACTATTAGAGTTCTTGCAAGCATTAATAAAATAAATATAAAATAAGAAAATTTCATTATATTGAAAATTAGAGGTTTTTATAATCTTAAAAATATTATAATAAAGCCTTTAGAGATTGGTTAGATTATTGGCCTTATTTTTGATTATTATATGAAATAATAACTGCCAGATAATTTATAAGATACTGCTATTGAGCTTAGAACTTATTTATAATATTCATTTTGTAATAAAGAGATGGGACAGGAAATGAATTATAATTCTTCCTCTTTCAATTTTCTTGATTTAGGCATTGACAATGAAAAGGATTGCGAAGGAATAGTGAGATTAGCATTTTATGGGAATTTAAATATAAATTCTATGTAAGCATATTGATTTTGCAAGAAAAGTGTAGATGACATATATGCTTGAACAAACAGGGACCCATGGAGTTTGGGGATTGGGTCATTATTAATTGCTTCCTTTTGCATTTGGAGCTACAAAATTGATATGAAAATGAATCTATAATTATATATTAAATGATGAATGCTTACTTCCTGATGGCATAATAAATGAGAACATTGTTAAGAATTTTAAAGAAGAATATTTGTTTTTTTAATGTATAGATTTCATTAATAATGTATGGAATCATTAAATATGAAGGTTAAAAAAGGGACATTTCATGAGCATAGTCCTATTTTACATAGTCTTACTAATTTGATTGGTTGGGGAAAGGTCTGTTCTGGATTAGTAAAAATGTTTTAAGGAGAAGTGTTGTTTAAATATCCAGTTATATAACATACCTATTTTGGAACAATTGTTGAATTTCAATGAAAAATATATGAGTATAAGTTTTATCATTTATTAAATATGAAACAGATTGATCATAATACATAATAAGGTTATGTTTAGAGTATAATTTAATAATATCTTCAAATTCATAAAGTTTGAAAAAACCTGGCTTACCAAAATAATTTAATACTTTACTGTTGCATATTTAATATTAATTTATTAAATGTCAGACCCTGTATATCAAAATCAGTCTTTAAAAAGTTAAACTAATGTACAGACAAATAATTAGATTAAGAAGGACAAACCTATCATTACATAGATTATTCGGCAACCTTCAATTCCTTAAATAAGAATATCAAAAAATAATAGATCTTCAAATTATTAACCAACTCCAAATAAATTAAATAATGAAAAGCAAAATCATTTATAATAATTACAAAGAGATTATACATCAATAGAGTCTACTATATTATTTAATAGTTAAATTTGCTTGAATGAATTTGCTGTATAAAATAATGTTACTATACCTACTATTAATATCAAAGAATTAATTATACCAAAAGAAGACTTCTTTTAAAAGTAATAATTAAAGAAAGTTAATGAAACAATTACATAACAAACAGTCACATAACAAACAGAGACTAAATTAAAAATATAAATAAAACAAGACTTATAAATATCTCCAAAAAATACACTAAAAGAAGATATAAATGACAATGTAAATTCTCTAAATTTCAGAACTAAAAATCTTATGTTTGGAGACTTAGCTGTTTTAAATTTCTACAGAAAAAAAGTAGATTGCAACAAAATTAATCATACTATGTAAGTTATTTCAAAATTGAATAAATTTAAAAAAGATGATTAAAGTTCCAATCCTTCTATTTATCCAATACTTGAAATAAATCCAATTAAAATTCAATAATAATAGTAATCTAATCCTGCTGTGCCTTCAAATCATATGAAGCTAATTTAAATTAAATAAGAAGCTTCAGATGAATAAACTGTAAATACACTTAATTTTCCAATAAATTAATTAGTTCTATAACATGAAGCTTAGAATAAGAGAGATATAGCTATTAGCTCTAAAGAAACACATTTTAGAATTCCATTGAAATAAGAATCCAAAAAACACATCTAATAAAGTTTATCTTTTAACACTAATATTATTTTTGATATAAAGGAATGCTTCATCCAAAGTTTCCCATGTAGATCTATTTAATTTTAATAAATAAAATTTGATACAAATTCAAAAGAATCAAATTCTTTATAAATTAATTAAGTGATTGTTAAAAATGATCAAGCTTTAATTATTTAGCCAGTCTAATTGAATAAGAAATTTTAATTTGCATTACTTATTAAAGATGAAATAGAAACTAACTATAATTCCATTTATTTATCATAAACAACCATATAAGAAAATAAAATACATTTTTAAACTTTAGAATAGAAAAATAATCCTATCCAAAATATACAGAAATTTACTTTGATTCATGATTTTGTTAGGGATACGACTTCTAAATTTCCTCAAATTTCTTAGACTAAATTCATTAACTTTAATGAATAAGATTCATTAATAAATTAAAGTCCTTTAATGACTCAAAATTAATTCAATTTTAGACATATATAATTAGATATAAATAGTGAATCTAGCAAAATTATGTAAGAAATGACACCACAAAATTTTGAAAATGAAGTTGAAATTTAATTTAATGATTAAATCTAAACAAAAGAAAAGCCTTAATATCCTACTTTACTTGAGATGAATAGGATCAAAATAGAAAGGATTAAATAAATAATTATTGGAACTAAATCTCCAAAAGATCTCTTAAAGCCTAATTTAGAGATTAAGGAAGAGATTGGCTAAGTTTTTAGTTTAGCAAAATTGAATACAGTTTAAGATGCTTCCCCAAAATTTAAATATTAAAGTGTAAATGGAAGTAAAGTATTTGATGATACAAATAAAACAGAAGTAGTTTCAATTGAGAAACTAAGGAGTTCCAGCATTGATAAAGCAACAATGCATATGTAAATGAGTAAAAATCAATCATCAGTTTTAAATAGATTTAAGAAAATAAAATATTTAGGAAGAGGTAAGATGAGTGACGTTTATTCTATAATAGATAAGAAAACTGGTATGGCTTTAGCATTAAAAATAATTTAGAAATCTTTAATAAAAAGTAAGGGATTAGCGAATTTAATTAGCAATGAGATTAAGATCTAAATGTGTTTGGTTCACTCTAACATTTTGAAGTGTTTTGGAGTAATAGATGATAATAAATAAGTATTTATTTGATTATATTTTAGATAGCTTTAATACTTGAATTAAGTGATTAAACATTATATAACTTAATAAGAAATTAAAAATTGACTAGAAGATAAATGATCAATTTCCTATTTTAGATTTTAAATGCAGTTAATCATTTACACAATTTGGGGATTATTCATCGTGATATAAAACCTGAGAATATTTTATTATGCTAAGATGTTATTAAATTGGCTGATTTAGGAATTTCTATAAGGGCAATCAATAGTTCTTAATATTGTGGTACTATAGGATATATGGCTCCAGAGATTAAACAATATCAAAATTATACATCTAAAGTTGATTGTTATAGTATAGGAGTGTTAATTTTTGAAATGATGTATTAGAAACTTCCAAATCAAACTCTATCTCAAATTAAGAATCTTGAGAGGGACCCTTTAATAGATTTAATGAATAATCTCGTAGAACCTGATCAAGAGATTAGATTCTCATGTTAATAAGCTTTAAATCATGAAATTTTTAAAGATTTCTAGTAAAATCAATTCGGAAAACCTTAACTTTAGAAAGAAATGATAAAACTACTTTGATTTAAAATGAAAAATATGAAGTTTTCTGACTTTAACTTAAATTATAAATATTCAGGTTTAATTTTTCAATTAAACAACAATGCAAGTTATATCATCCCTAGCTAAGCTATGTTTTTTCCAGGCATTAATTGCTTCAGCCATAAGTTTGTCAGCAGCTAAATCGATATTATCTTTCTCAATATAAGGAACTACAACATTCATAACCTTAAATTATATAAAGTATATACTTCTTCATTGCTAAGATACTCCCAAACACCATCAGATGCTACTATTATAAATTAATCTTAAGGAGTAATTGTATATTCAAGTATTTCAGGTATACTAATAACACCAGCTTATGCTCCTAATTTATCACCCATACTTCTTGTCATTGCTAATCCAGGAGCATCTATATATTATAACCAAACTCTTTCTGGTCCTAATTAATTTCCATAAAAATCTATAATATATTATTATTATATTTTAAACCTCTTTAACTATCAATTCTACCACCTGCTTCAATAATTCTTTACTTCTCTTATTCATCAGATGGTTTATGATCTCTTGTCAATTAAATTGCTTTCCATCCATCTTAATTTCTACATATGATTGCTCTACTATCACCAACATTTGCTGTCCATAATTATTCTTTTCTTATTAATACTGCTACTGCTGTTGATCCAGATAAGGTTGTATCAAATTCACTTTCAATTATTTCTTTATTTGTTTTTTCAAAAGCAAATGTTAAACATCTTTCTATATCTCTTCCTTATTATTGAAATTATTGTTCTATGTATTTTGGTAATTGTTATTTAATTAAATTTGATACTAAATGTCCATTTGTTCCATGTCCATCACACACAGCAATTAAAGAACAATTGTAACTTTCTAAATAATCATAACCATTTACTGTTCTAAATTATTGGGAAATAAGATGGCTGCATCCTAATTAGTCTTTAATGTTTTATTAGGAAGACAACCAGCTTTAGTCTTTGAAGCAAATAACCCACCTTACCAGGCTTTTGCCATTAATCTTCTTTTATTTAAGACTTATCTTTCAGGACTATATTATTGTCTCTTTTCTGGTGTTACTGAAGAATAATGAGGCATAGGAGACTCTTCATCCAATTATTTTGGACTTCTCATTTAAGGACCATTGGAACTATGTTTTTATTTTGGAACATCACTTTTTGCATCTAACTTAGGCAATCTACTTAGAATTCTATGACCATTTCCATAATTTGCTATGTTTATCAACTTCTACTCTAAACAATATCATTTCTTTTAAGTACAAGGTTCAAAATTAGGGATTTCTTATTTCTTTATTCCTGGTAAAGAAGGCAAAGAAACCTTTCCATTTTACTTTGCTTCTTGTTCTTCATTCTTATATCTTTTTTAGCCCATTTATTTTTATATTCTACTTTAATCTATTTAATCAGATTAAGGATGTCTTGGAGGTTTTAGGGAACTGTACTCTAAAATTTAAATGTAACTCAGAATTTATAATATGGAAAGTATTATGAATTTATGAGTAAAGGTTTGTTATACCTATCGATGAAGTCGGCTTTGGTTTTTGATCAGATGACAATTGTTAGCTTTATGCTAACATTTAATTAATTATATTGATTAAATAATATATAACACTTTCATTTATGTGCCTTTACTCCTTTAAGGGCACCTGATTTTTTTGAAAATACTTCTTCAAATGCTTTGCTAGCTTAATTCTTGAATCTTTTATTGAGAGCCTAAAATTAGAGATATGAATTAATATTACTTTTGGATTTAATTATATAAAAGCAAATGGTTCAGGCCTTCCTTTTACAGTTACATCACCACCTGCCTTTTATTTTGATTTAAATGTAGAACCACTCTCTTTTACTACATGTACAACATCCTTTGTTTTTCGATCATTTCTTGTTATTTTCTTTTAAGCATGTTCTTCATCATCACTATTTGCAGCTTCTCTTCTACGCTTTTAACCCAATACTTCTTTTTATTCATTTACAATCACTTTTCCATCCTTATACTCAACTAAAGGTTTAATAGTAGATTATTTTTATTATTCCTTTTCTTAAATTTTTTTTTTTTATTTAATTGCATCTTCAAAATGGAATTATTCTTTCTTAAAATCATACTTTAATAATAGATTATTTTCAACTTCTGCTTCAGTTTCCATACCACCTTATTATTATTTTGGCTTTGTTCCTAATTCTTATTCAGATTCTTCATCACTTTCAAGATCAGAATCTTTTTATTATTTTTATTTTTTTTATTACCATTTTTATTTATTTAATTCTTTCTCCTAATCTCTTTTGTTTTTCTTTTTTTTCTATTATTTCTCTATTTTTATAGCATTTTTAAATAATTTTATATGTTCTTATGGTATTAGACATTCAGCTGTAGCAGGATAAGCTTTACTAAGTTTCATTAACAATCTTTTTAAAATTATAATATTTTTATCTCTTGATACTTCATCTAAATTAAGTAATTATGTGAATAACTATGAATTCAATGTATGTCTATGTTTGATTAATACTTTCACATATAAAATAATGGATTTAAAAATTTCATTGTTTTATTCTTTTAACAATAATAAAATTAATTTTGTCATTTCATCTATGAATTCACCTTTTAAATTTTAATAAAATTTATCAACTAAGAGTGAAATTGTAGCAACAGCATCAGCTTTCATAACATTTGATTAAGCTGCCAATCCTGCAAATACCATAGATATAAATTAATCTAATAAATCTAATCCTAATAATCTTTATCCAATATTTTCTATCAATTTTTCAGCAAGAATACGAGTCTTAATATTATTATCTCTGATTGCAACTACCATTTCAGGTAAAAACTATTATATAAATGTTTAATAGCTATCTAATTTAGAAATTACATATTATTCCAATTATAAAATTACTTAAAATCTTTTTTATCTTGAACTAGGTTCACATTCAGCTTCTAAAACTAAATTATATACCTCAGCTAAGAAAGTATGATGAACTTTTGGTATTATAGCTGCTAAGAATTTATAAATCTTTTTTTAAATTATAGGGATGTTAATCATTTCCTTTATAAAATTAATACAATAATCCCAAAGATCTGAGGTCATCTATTAGGCACTTACAACTTACAATACTATATCCATATTATTTAAAGCTCTATCATCTAATTTATCTTTGGATGATAGTAACTTTTCCATATTTTTCTTAAAAGCTTCTTGTATATATGATTTAGGTGCTGCAAAACTCATTACTTTAATAGCATTTAATGTATGAGTGCAATTGTTTTATTCAACTAATTTAGCCAAAGTTGAAATATATTGTTTTGCAAAATTTTACAATGATGGAAATGCTACTAATTATGAAAACAATTTAGCAATCATTAATAAGAGTTTTTCAAAAAATAAATGTTCTTTTTTTAAATAATTTAATGTTAATTCAATAAATTAAGCTAATTTTGGATGATTTTAAGAATCATTAGTAGCTATTGAATTTGATGCTATTTCTAATACATGGAAAAGTATATTTTGAATGATTTTTTATTCATGAGATGGATTTGCATTTGATGCTAAAGATAACAAATTAGTTAATGGAAATAGGAAATCAAGGAATTCTTCCAATTTTGGATTAGCATATTTACTTAATATATATAAAATCCAACAATTTGATTTTTCATCAAAATCTTTATCTAAAGGATTGACTCCTTCTGTTTTAAGTGGAAATGTGCGTAATAAATTAGACATACTTACTCCATTACATAATTAACCAAATGTCTTTTCAAAATATACATGTGGCCATCTACTCTTATTATGTACAAATTCTTTTATTATTTCTTTACAATGTTCAAATGTTTTATCATCTATAGTAGCAAAGAATTTAGCAAAAACATCAAGTATATTAGCATGATCAAATCTATTACTAAATAAATATGTTAAAGTAGCTATGTATTTCTATTATAATGTTCCTGCACTTTCTAATTCCAAATTCATAATATCTTCAGCCAAATCTTGTTTAAGAGATAGTGTTGCTTTTCCTATTTTCTCAATTAAGGTCATCATTTCTAATCTACAATGTTGCATTAATTTTTAATTATTTTGTAAGAGTAATTCTGCCATATTAGATAAAGTAGATGGTAAATAAGATGCAGCTAAAGACAATGAACTCTAACTTAATGTAATTAAACACTATCTAATACACTAAATATAAGCATGTTATGCATTAACTTCTTCTGGTTGTATTTGATTTAACTATTATATTAATTTTTCAGCTTAATCTGCTCCAACATTTTGTTAAAGTACTTACTAAATATATTTATAAATTAAATTTACTTCTAAAGAAAGAAAAATAAATGGATAATATTTGCTATCCATATTTTAAATTTCTTCAATTATTACATACAATGCATCAACAAGAATAGAGTAAGGAATGAGATTATTAAGAGATGCTAAAAGGGTAAGTGAATGTTATGCACATTCATTATTTTCTTGTAAATTTATTTTTAAATGAGTTTTAAGTCTTTCATTTATTTCAGGAATCTATTGAATATCCAATGCTTTTTATTAATAAAATGATTGTAATGTTTTTATTGCTTATTTTCTGAGTTTTTTTTTATCACTTATAGTTTACTATAATAAAAGATTAAATAGTTGATGAATTTTTTAAGAATTTAAGTCCTAAATTAGAGAATATAAAATACATCTTTAGATGATAAAATTAAAATTTAACCAAAAATACCCAAACTTAAATTATCTAATTAGACTTTTCCTATTTCTTCCAATAAAGCAGGTATTAACTTTCTTACTACAATAATTGGTACTGATGGCAATATCTAAATTTCATATATATGATCATTACTTTATAAATTAATAAAATGATCGCCTCTTAACCATCTTTAGTAGATTTCAATAAATTAATCAATTGTGCAATATATGCTGTAGGATTTGTTCTTTATTCAAGGTTAAGATTGTTTTCAATGGACTATAATAATATTAATCCTTTATCATTTTAAGGTGAGCTTTTTTATCGTAATTTTGCGTAGAGTTAATCCTTGAATGTCTCGACTTACATAAATTAAAAAATTAATTTTATCAATAAACACATTAAAAATTCATTAAATGAATGACCAATCATCCAATCTAGGGTTCGATTATGGTTAATCTCCAAATTTCATCTATTAATATATATATATTTAATTTACATCAATAACATCCTTTTCCCATTACTTAGATCTATCTCTTTCAATAAATGGACCATCTTCTACTTTATTTAAAATGTTATCCCAATTTACATCTTTAAAAAAAGGATGTCTTTTTAAATCTTCTGCATCATTCTTTGAGCCAAGTCTTTATGCAGGGTCTCTAATTAATAATCCTTTAATTAAATCTCTTGCATCCTAACTCATTTATTTTGGAATTTTTAAAACTCCTTTCTTAATATTTTCAAATAATTATTCCCTATTTTAATGATAATAAGGTGGTAAACCAACTATCATTTCATATAATAAAACACCAACAAGGTACCAATCAACAGTTCTTGAATGCCCTTTTTTCATAAGTACTTCTGGTGATAAATATGCAATTGATCCACAAAAACTTTTTGTAATATTATCATAAATTCCTTCTTTTGATAATCCAAAATCAGTTAATCTAGCATGGCCTTTAGAATCCAAAACAACATTATCAGGTTTCAAATCTCTAAAAATAATGCAATTCTTATGTAGTGATTCTAAAGCTAATATAATTTCGCATATATAAAATCTTGCAATTTCTTCACTTAATTTAACTTGTTTTGTTAATAATTATCCTAAATCTCCTCCTGGACAAAAATCCAAAACCATGAATAATTTTTAAGAATTTTAAAATGCAGCATGTAATCTCACAATAAATGGATGTCTCATTACACTAAGCACATTCTTTTCAGTTTGAGCATAACGAGTTAAGTTTTTTGAAAATACTCTTTCCTTACATAATGTTTTAATAGCAAAACCTTCTCCATCAGATTTTCTAGTTGCATAATATACTTCTCCAAAACTTCCTTTACCTAACAATTTGTGAAAGATGTAACCATCAGGGGAACATACCTGAGATTAAATGAATTTATAGATACATTCACACTAATTTCTTAAAAGGGAGCAGATACTATTGGTTCTATTAAATTTTCTTAATTATTAATTTATTATTATTATTATTATTATTATTATTATTATTATTATTATTGATTCTGTTTTAAGGTTTCAATTTTCTATAAATCATTTATTTTTCCTAATAATCTTTCAATATGATCAGATCGTGAATTCTTAACAACAAAACCCCCAAATTATGATCTTTATTAATATCCTCCTATTACAGGTACAAACTTTTAAAGTATTGTTCTAATTTCATTCGACATTGTAACATCAAATGCTGTTTTTTAATGAGAGTTCTTCAACTATGCTAAAAGTATTTATTTTAAATATATTACCATCAGCATCATTTGCGACTAAAAATTCTACAATTTTAACTTGGTTTAGTTCTGCACTAATATGTAAGGGTGTATTATTATCAGAATCTTAACAATTCACATTTACTTTATATTAAATTAGTAATTCAACTATTTCTAGTGATCCTCTTATACAAGCCAAATGTAAAGGTGTTCTTTTCATTTATGTACATAAATTAGGATTTGCTTTAGCTTCCAATAAAAGTTTAACAATCTTTGTTCTTCTATTATTTATAGCATGATGAAGAGCAGTCCAATCATCTAAACCTTTACAATCTACATTAATAAGTCCTATAAACTCTTAATAATCATCTCCAATCATACTATTTGTGGTCGATTTGAATTACTATTAAACCTATAATTTTAGATCTTTTTGATCCTTTAGAAGCATATTAACTACATCTTCTTCCCCTTTTTCACAAGCATCATAAAGTTTTTCATTTATTTCTTCAATTTTATTCCAAAAATTCTTCCATCTGTTTTTTTTTAGATTAACAGTAGTATATTATGAATACTCAATATCTAATTCTCCAAAATTGTTAACACTATATGTATCACCTGTATCAAGATTTTTTATAAATTAACATGGATCAATATCATCATCATCATCTAAATTTTTTTTCATTATTATAATTAGATAAATAATATAATCAAGATAAATAAATTAAAATGAAGGAGATATCTTCAATTTTAATCACTTCATTATTGTTGTAATATGTTTCCCATTTTCTTTTACAATAATTCAATATAGAATTTGCTAATTCTTCAATTTATTTTTATTAAGTTATCAATCTAATTTAATCCAATTATGCTATGATTTCCTAATAACTCATCACATCCCATAAACCACAAGTTCCAATTATTAAAAATCCTTCCTATTTTATTTAAAATGTTTGAAATTCTGATTCTGATGTTACCCCTATTTTTTTTCCTATTGAATCCCCCAATGATCTTGTAGAATAAAGCTAAGGAATATTTTGATCCTACAAAAATACATAATAAGGTCCTTATCTTTTATTAGTAAATTCATTTCTTAATTATCTGATTTATCCTCCACTTTTAAGTATTCTGAAACATTCTTAATTATGAGAAAGTTTATGTTCTTAAGATAACTCTTTATGTTACCATTACTATAGAGATTTAGAAAAGAAAACTGCTTTGGAATTGCCAATATTTTAACAAATTATTTTATCTCCATTGATAAAAATTGTAATTAAAGTTGTTCCACTCAACATTAAATTGAACTCATCATTGAATTGCATTTCCTTTTCAATATCTATAGTACATTAATTCATCAATTTAATATTTTATGATTAATGATCTCCAAAAAACAATGATATTCTTAATTTTCTTTTGTATTAATGTGCAACATAATTGGAAACTAGATGACCATCAGGACCATGTCCATCACATATCCCAAACAAATACTAATCTTCATTATCATTATAATTAGTAGAATAAAATATGCAATCTTAATTATTATCGATATTGTCATCTATTCCTTAGAGTGTTCTAAATAAGTTAAGATGCTTAGTTACCTTATTGTAAAGAATTTAACACAATCATTAATGAAATCTGGTTCTGTTTTCAGAGGATGAAACTTTGTACTTGTATAACGGTACTTAGAAACTTAAGGTAGTTTTTATTTCTATTGAGTTGTTCTAAAAGACTTGAGAGAGCCCATCTATTTATTAGTTTTTCTGACTAGAATGCTCATAAATATGAAATTAATTAGTTTTGAGTATTATTATTAATTTGCACCCCCCCCACCTGATGTTTATTTTGTGTGTATATTTAAATATCATTAATAAAATGTCAGAGGATATTAAGACTAGACCTATAAATTATTTGAATTGTACATTTGGAGATATGCATGAAGGAGAGTAACTAAATTTTGTATGTCTTGATACAACTTGCAAAGAAATGGGTCTTATATGTCCAGTTTGTAGATCATAAAAACATGCAAAACATAAAGTGATTCCATTAAAGATATTCCTTGCAGATATTTCTATAAATGTAAATGGAAAATAGAATCAAAATTCTATTGATTAATTATTGACATAACTTGATCAAGTGCGTGCAAAATTATTATCAAGTCTTAAGGAAACAGTGTAAAAAATGGTTTTGTATATAATTTATACTATTATAAGATAAATAAAATTATTGGAAGATTAAATTAATTTAAGTCACAAGAATACTAGACAAAGATTATTGGAATAAAATTAAACATAAATGAATTTTCCATAAATATTTTAGTAAATACTCAATAGTCAATATAAAAATGTTGATCAACTCAAATAAGATGTTAGAAAGATTATAGATAATGTTAGTTAATAATAAGCTGGAAAGATTGAGATTGATTTCAAACCTTAAAGATTATTTGATTAATATTAAAAAGCTGTAATCTAATTAATACTATATATTTTAGTCTTAAGAATCAATTGCATAATTTAATCAATTGCTTGGATAATTCAAATCATCGATTTACAAAATTTCTAAACCTATTGAAAAATTCACTTTACCATTATAAGCATAAAATTCAACTAATTATACTTTTAGTAGTGTTCTTAAATCTCCATCTATTAATATTATAGAATAAAAGAATGCCCATCAAACTACTAATTAAAATAGTGAAAATAGGTTTATTTTAATTGAACCTTAAATTCTTGAATCATGTAAAATTGGCATTAAGATTACAAATTTAAGTAATTTTATTGGAATAGGAATTGCTTACAAAAATGTACTTTTAGGAAAGAAGTAAAAAAGTATTATAACATTTTAAGTATGAAATTTGATCATTAAAATTTGGGACATGGTTCTTATATGATATCTTCAAATGCACATACTTGGTCTCATTCTAAAAAAGAAGAGAATATGATCTAGAAATCCTTCACTTTTACAACAGGTGATATTATTATAGTTGAAATTAATTTAGAAAATAAGGTAAAATCTTAATCAAATTTTAGATACTCAAATTTACATGTAAAAATAAACCAAATGATAATTAAGCTACAATATTGACATTTGATAATCCAGATAATGATGATATTCATTTCTGTATTAATATGTGTTCTTCTGGTGAGAAAGTGGAAATTCTAGATGATTTAGAATGATTGTAATCTAAATAAAATTTATATATATTAAATATTTAATCAATATGTAATAATAAAAAGAATATATTCCAATAGTATTAATTGAAGATAAGATTTAATAATAGAAAATTGAAACTGAATTTACAGAAGAAAAGTATTAACATATTTAAATATTATCCTATTTAGACTACCATTGATTGAATCTGTATTTCAAACAAATAAAGCCAGCAATCCAATAATTACTTCAAGAACCTCCTACATTAAATATAGTATTCCAATTGGAATTAAACCTATTGTTTTTCCAAATATTCTCTAAAGAACTAAAGAGGATATGATAAAATTAAGAAAACTTCAATTAGCATAAATACACTTTGAGAATGATTAACCTTCAAATACAATAAGTTTAAAAACTGAAAACAGACTAAAGAAAACTGAAAGAGATAAATCAACCTAAAAAATGCATACTAAAAATTCATAAAATAAACCAATAATAACAGAACTCACTACTCTTGCCAGAGATAATTATAGTGTTTCTCCAAGGTCTACCTCATTCAAATTTAGGAGTTTAAGTCCAGATATTGAAAGTTAATTATGGTAAGTGAATAACAAAATAAAAAGAATTAATAAAGCATACGAAATTAAAAAAGAAATCCATCATTTAGAACGATTCAAGACTTAATGGAAAATTGATGTCATCTAATAAAATTTATCATAAAAAATTGTATAAGTAGGATTAAATACAAAAAAAGGTTTAAGATCTATTTTCATTTTAATTTATTTGCCACATTAGAATATTCATTTGAGAAGTTCCCAAACTGAAGTTAAATCAATGTAAATAATATCTATAAATATTTAGAACAAATGAAGTTGAATTAAGTGTATTTCCCTATTTCACTCCAGTTTATGAGAAGATAATTAATGAAAAAGAGATTTCTGATAATTATAAAGAATGGTTCTCTTATTTTCTTGATATTCTACATTATAGAAGTTATATACCAAAAGCTAAAACATTTACTTTAGATTGTATTGAGATTTCAGCATTAAATTAAATTCCACATTATGAAAGGTTTTTGTTTATTCAATTATAAGTAATGATTATATAATTAAGATAGGGTTAATTTGATTTTTGGAGTATTATGAAATAACAATTAAATCTATCAGGAGAGTTTTAAGTTGATAAATATCCTAAATTAGCTATTAAACTATTAGATCTTAGAAATAAAGAGGAGGTTTGCAGATTTTTTAGTAAAAGAGAAAATTTGTTACCATTTTATTTTCAATAAGTATAGATGGGAAGTTAAAATTCAATTCATTCACAATATTATATTGAAATAGAAAATAATATTAGAGAACCTGATGATGATATGTTCGAATAATCAATTATTTAAATGAATGAAAAAGAATAAGACACTTATTTAAAACTATTGTAATAATATATTCATTCAAATAAATCAAAATATTCCAATAAATTAAAAAATTTAGAAGAGAACATGAGATTAAGATTAAAAAAGATCAAAGCTATGAGGAGATAGTCTATTTAGGTTAGACTGAAAACTGTACTTTAATTTAAATATATAAGAAAAATTTTATTAAACCTGAAGAAGAAGAGCATTTTGAGAGAAGAATATTATATGAAGATGAAAAATCAATAGAAGAAATATAAGAGGATGCTTATGATCATATTTTACCTTAAAATACACATATTTTCAAAAAGAAGTCTAAACAAATTACATCAGTTGAAGATCCTTTTTAATCTTTTAGTTCAAAAGACAATTAAAAATTTAAAGAAATTTTGTAATTAATAAATGTTGAGAAAATAGTATTAGAAAAAAATTTATCAAGGTAAGATGTTTATCATTACTTGTCACTTTTTAAGGCATTGATGGATTCAGATACTCCTTAGAGAATTAAGGATGTTAATTATCCTACATTATTTATTTCACTTGATTAGTTACGTAGAGGTGTTCCATTTATTGCATTATATAAGAATAAGGTTAATACAAAGAAACTTGCAGAAGTTTACAGTAGAAAATATAATTATTGTGAATTCATGGAATTTTTGGATATCTTTACTACAGATTATTAAGTGACAGAATAGGAATTATAAGAGGTTGAATAAGAAATAATATATTCTTAATAAAAGGCAAATCAAACAACAACTTCTATTTAATAAAAATAAACATCTTTAATGGAGAATCAAAAAAAATGAAATATATTTTGATATATCTTTTAATTAATATTAAAAACACCAATAAAATAAATAAAAATTTATTATTATCATTAAGTGAATTTATTTTATTAGGCTGGCGTTTATTTTCGTTGATTATTGATTGAATATTTATTGATCTCATGAATCTAACAAATTTCTTCCTAAATAACTTCGAAATCTTAGTGATCTTCTTCAATTGCAATTTTACATGGGTTCTATACTTGTAATGAATTTGATTGAGTTCTTTAAGGTGTTATATCTAATTTTAGATTATAAAAATACTCGATGATCCTGATAAAGAAAGATTTGAAATAGATTGGTTTAACAATTAATTCATTATTGGACTTCTAGCAAAAATTTCAGGGTAATGCTAAAATTATGGAATCATGCTGGTTGGCATATATAATTGAGGAGGGCTCATTTAATATACAGGTGTGAAACACTTCATAAACCAAGGATGACACAATGCTTGTTTAGCAGTATACCTAGATTATGGATTTGGAGATAACATTATCATTAAAAGCTATAAAGCTAAAGTTAATTTAAAAAATGTACCTTCAGGACTAATCTTTTATTATAAATTATTGATTGTGTAATCTATCTCACAATTATAATTTTTGATAACAAGTTCATTTTTTGATTTAGTTTGAAATGGAGATTGTCCACTCAACCTTAAAATTTAAATCTTAATTTACATTATAAACATTAAAATTCCTGCACTGAACACATCTACCTTATAATCATAGTTTTTCTCTTATAATATTTCAGGTGCTACATATCCTGGTGTTCCACATCTTTTAAATAAATATTTTCCCTCTACATTATAATAGTCGGCCAACCCAAAATCTGCAATATTTACATCAGAAGCATTGAGTGGTGAACGAAGAATTAAATTTTCTGGCTTATTTTATATTTAAATATCATACTTTGATATCTCTATGAATAATGCCTTATGAATGTAAATAATCTAAAGAATTAAGTAAGTTATGCATTAATAATGCTACTTGAATTTCATTAAACCCCTATGGTTAATTTCGAAGATACTGAAATAATTCACCACCTTCTAAATAATCTGTTACTAACCATATATGATGTTCTGTTTCATAAACTTCATATAATCTGATGATGCCTGGAAATTATATTTTTCTCATGATGCTGATTTCTAATTTTAAAGCATCCTAACAATTTTAAATATGATAAATTACTCTTTCAAGAGTGAGATTTTTGAAGCTTTTCTTCTCGAATGACTTTACAGCATATGCAAAATTATCTCTTCCTATTGCTTTGTAGACCTAAGAATCAAAAATAATTATTTTACTTTAGCAAAATTTCCTTATCCTTAAACTTTCAATAGTTTATAATCTTCATTAAAAGACCTTTAAATAGCATATTTCTTGATCAATTGAAACCATATTTAGTATTCTTATTCATTAGTAGTAAATTCAATTTATTTTTTATTTCTGCTTAGTCTAAATGTAAATGGTTAGTTAGTTTATTCTAAAATAATGTTATTGAGATCTATATGCCTTTTGTAAGTATTATCAAACTCTACCAAATATTCATTAGATATAAAAAACTTTCCTTTTTTTATTGATTAAGAATTTGTTTTTTTCATTGTCAATACACTTGATATTTGATACATTTTAAAGTCTGGTTTAGATTTTTACCATAACGGTTTGTTGGGCTCATCAAATAATGAAATAAAGTTATTGTTGCACTCTTTATTCATTGCAATTAATTATGAGATGATTTATTAATAAAAATAAAATGATATTAGGTTATATTATATCACTGAAATAGTATGACATCACCAACTATTCTATTTTTTCATCAACTCTAGACTAAATTTTTATTTATATTTATAAAAACATGAAATATGTTAAAGTAAAATTTAAATATCAAATTGTTTGAATTAGATGTGATAAAAGATTTTAAATTTTATCAACAATTCTAAATAAACATAGAATATTTCTCTTTTATCCATAGATGAAAATAGATTTCAGAAATCAGTATTAATTTAACTATCAAATTATTTACTGACAATCTCTGATTAAGTTTACCTGTTAAAAGCTTGAATAAAATCCTTTATTGACAAGAAAACATAACTTCATATTTATTCAAAAATATTCCAATTATTTTTAAATTTGCTTACAGAAATCCTATTATTAGGATCTAATTTAATATATATTAAAAAATTATATTCCACACCTATTAAATTGATTTCCCATGATAAAATGATTAAATGATAAATTTTTATTTCAGGAAAAGCCTTCTATGGGTTATAACATTAATAAACTTATAATTTCTCCTTTATTTTTATTCTTCCAAAAATTACATTGCTAAATCAAAATCTCAAATCCTTTTTTTACAATTTTCAGCTTAAAGAACAATTTTCTAATTCCAATCCCTATTAGAAACCTCAACTTTTTGATTTTTTTTTCAATAACTATTATGAATTGTAATCGAATACCTTTCTTAAATCATTTATTTAAAAAGGATTCTCTTTATATTGTCCTTAATTCTATGGTTATATTATTTTTTCTGAATTCTACATATCATATTCCATCAGAATATAATCATTAATTAGATCTAACTGAATGTTAATAACATCAGGTGTTGAATAAATTTATTCCAAAAATACTATCCTCTTTTTCTTAAGTTTCTGGAATTTTTTTAGAACTCAAAGTCCTATAAATTTATTTTACATTCTAATTATTTGAGGGTTAAGATGATTGAACAATAATATTACTAATAATGAGATAAAATTTATTATTTAAAAAAGACATCTATAAATTGGAAATTCCCTTTTATATATTAAGAATTTGAAGATTTTATGAATACTCTTTCTACTTTAAAACAGGAATTGAAGAACTTGAAATAGATTATTAGAAATTCATTATAGAGAACAATATTATCCCTTTAATAAGCACTAACACCTACAGTTATTATCCATTGATCGCGTGGTGTAGGGGTTATCACGCGTCCCTAACAAGGACGAGGCCGCCAGTTCGAGACTGGCCGTGATCATGTTTTTTTTCATTTTTGTATTATTAATTAATTGATTTTTCTTATAAATCAAAAATAATAATATAAATTAAAAAGCTTACAAATAATTAATTAATTAATTAATAAAACTCATTTTAATCATGATATTGACTAATCAATGAAACAATATTATTGAATATCTAAATAGAAATTAAATAATAGACTATTACAATTATGGTTCTTAATGATTTTTTATGTTATTAGGACTAATTAATAAAATAGTTTAAAACTAAGCTTTTAAGAGTATTAGATATTTGTTCCATTGATTTATTTTCTAGATGATAGAGACAATATTTATTTGTAGGTGTAATGAAATCTGAAATTATATTTTTTATGATAAATTAAAAAAGCTTAAGCATTTTGTAATTGATCCCTGAGAATTTCTAAAGGAGCTCAAAATCTTTAACAACTATAATTAAAAAACAAATAAACGAAGATGAAAAGTAAGTGAGACCAATCAAATTTCTCTACGTTAATAAAGAAAAAAAGAACAAATTAAATATAGGACAGGTTGAAAAATATGTAATTTTAATGGGTATACTTTATAGAAATAATTACTGAGAACTGGGGCTTCTTCATTTATTTTTTATATCTATAAAAATAAAGATTGTTAAGAAAATTACTTCAATTCTTTATAGAGAACTGAAATAAAAGTTCCTTTAGTTGATACTACTTTATAAATTGGCATTTATGTTTGGGACCACATCCATTATATAGATTAGAAATCTATAAATGTATATTAATTTTAGTGTATTTTGGGTACTCAAGAAGATGAAAATAATTAACTTTTATTTGTTGTTAGTTAATTAGCTAGCAAAATAGTAGTGATAATTGAAAATTACAATTAAGAAGAAATTGAGATCATATAATAACTAAAAGCTCATGGATATAAAGATTAAATAGATGTTTTTAATCTTATATTTACAATAAAAATTCCAATCTATTATAATAGTGAGGAAGTTAGATATATCGATATATATGAAAATAATTTATGGGAAAAAGTATATGTTTATAAGAAATCATCTAAAGATACAATGAGATTATGGCAAGAAGAAACATTAATGAGTCTAACAAAAAAAACATACAAGGATATAGAAGTAGATATTCTAACTGTATTATCAGTAGTAAATTATTTAAAACAATTAAATTTTTCAGAGGAGAATTGCGATTTGATGTAATAGTATAATTTACTATTAGATTTCTGAATGCTATAAAAAAGTAAATAGAATATAGTAAAAAAGATATTTAAGAATAATATATATAAGAAATTTAGAAATTGTGTTCTAATTCTAATCATTTCTAATAAAATTAACTGTTATTAACATTAAATTAGGTAAGAAATAATGCATAAAGTTAATATTATTAACAGTTATCTTAATTCTTAAATTTGGAAGAATATTAAAGATAATTAATAGAACTATCCTAATTTATAAATAATATAGAAGAAGACTGTTTGAATTTATTTCATGATGTAGCTCATTAGTAAGAATCAAATATAATTCTAGTGATTTATTGTAGAGAATGAAACATAATATTAAGAGTTCTTAAAATAATGATACCTTTCTAAATCATTATTAAAATTTCTTATCTATGTTAAGAAACTTTGATGACATTATGGGTGTAAAATATAAATATCTAAAGAGACATTTCAAAAAAAAGTATAATAAATTACTTCACTTTTACATATTAAGCACATTTGAAAGAGAATAGATTGATTTTATTGAATAGATAGAACTTGACATAGAATAATTACAAATTACTGTTGATTAATTACAAAATGAAGTTGAAGAATTTGAATATAAAATTAAGATAAGTTAATCTAAACATCATACTCGTTAAAGCTCCTTATAAACAACTGTTGGAATGGCTTAAAGTTAACATTATGAGAGCCTTCAAAAATTGAATTAAAAAGTAGAAACTCTATAATCCTAAGCTCATGTATGGATCAAATAATGATATCTATATCTTATATAATCTACTTAATCTTTAGCATCAATTTACAAGAAAAAATAAATAAATAAAATAAAATTTCAATATTCTATATCTCTTTTTTTAAATTAATCCAGAATTGGTAATATGAACTTAAATACATTATTTAGATCTTCTGTCTTTTTTCCTCCAGTTATGACACATCTACCACTAACAAAGATTAACAAAGTTATTTTCTTTTAATCTGTTATTTTCCTAAATATCAATCCAGGGAATATTTCTGGTTCATATTATACAACAGATCGATATTATTGATCTTTAGTAAATTCATCTAATTTTATTGGTTTTCTAAAATCAAAACTTGCTACAATATTCTATATTGTAAAATTTTTGAAAACAACAGGAAATCCTAATTTGTTTATAATCTTTGCATATTTTCTAGCTGCAATTAAAGATTAATCTTCTGATTTTGCTCCTGTACATACCATTTTTCCAGATTAAAATATTAGAGCAGTTGTACTAGGGTTATTTAACCTCATAATAACAGCTGAAAATCTCTTAGGATCTAGAATAAAATTTATTATATAATTACTATATTCAGCCATTCTTGCTCCATTTGATATTACTACTAGATTTAGTTCTGTTCCTAAATCTACAGTGGATACAACATTTTATATTTTTGGAGGGTGTGTACTACGAATCAATTCTTCTAATCTTTCATTGATTTCTGGCATGGTTTATAATTCATTTTTCATTAAATATAAAATATAATATATATATATATAATATATATAAATTATAGTTGATACAAAATTTAAGACTTAAAAATTAAGCAATTTTAATTATTAATGTTAAATATTATTTATAATCAAGAAACTTAATAATCTTAAACCTAATTAGATCTTATAGAACTTGTAACTTATCGAACTTAGCTACTAGTTTATTTAACAGAAACAAATTTAAATCCTTTTCCACTCTTAATTGCTTCATTTTATGACTCTGCCATTTATATTTCATCTTAAATATCAGTTAATCTTGAACTTAATTGCATTACTTTTTATCTAAGTTATTGTAATTATAAATCATGTTCTCTTGTAGCTTCTGTTGCTGGATCATGTTAATACATGAGATCATTCAGTTTATTTCTTAATATTACTACAGAATTCATTTTCATTCTTTAAATATGTTCTAAATGTCCAACTTCTAATTATAATTATTCAATCTTAAAATCAATAATAAACTAATACTTTTTGAGTATCATCTGATTTATTAGGTAAATCTTTTTTTTGTTTTTTTTAATTAATCTTTTCCCATAATTAATACATTTACTCTTCTAATTTAAAAACTTGATGTCTCCAATATATTTCAATTTCCTCTTAACTGTATTAAGATTTACCATCTTTTGTTATAACTTTATATTAAACAGTTTATAAAAATGATGGAATAAAATTTTAAGAAGAATATTAAGTTGATAATGAGTAAGCTTGTTTCAATGCTTCATATTATTCTAATTACTCTTAATATTAAGTTTACAATTAAGAATATGCTAAATTATGCTACTAAATTTCTTCAGATTGTTTATAATATTTTTCAGCCCATTCTTTTTATTTCAATAATAATTCTTGTTATATTAATTAAGATTATTACAGTTATTAATTGAATTATGTATTAATGTTTGTTTAATTTATTTAAGCTTATTAAATTTAAGGTTATATTTAATATTACTATTAATTCATTGGAATTTGTGATTAATAAATTGCTTATTACATGACATTAGATTGAGAATTTATAGCAATAGGAGATTATTATAGTTGAATTGGAGCTTACTATAAAATCATTGGGGATTGTTGAACCAATATTGGTGATTTCTACTAAACTATTGGGGGAGTATTGATGATTTAAGATGTTATTGGCATTACTCTAGGAGGAGTTATTGCTTATTACTATCTTATTTACATAGGTGATAAGGCTACACCTTCTATAACCTTTCGTGATACTATTCTTTCAGGAGAAGTATAAACAACTAATAATAATAATTTTTTTTACCTCTCCCACGAACTTATTATCCTGCTATTGCATGAGTTGACTAAGCAAAATTAGATTCTGTTTATGAAATATGTTCTCCAGATTAACATAAAGGACATTATGGTTCAAATTAATCAGAGTAATAAGTAACTATTCCAACTTATTGTGATGGTAATTACATAAATTTATTAATGAATAAGGGAAATAAATTTTATCATAGTTATTTTTTAATTTATTTTTTCTTTATTCATATATCAAATATTCAGTTGTTTAAATGTCTGAATTTATAATTTTATGAATGAATAAATGTGAATATTTCTCCATTATTTTATTCTTTTCTATAATTTTATTATTATTATTATTATTATTATTATTATTATTATTAATATGCTTGGGTAGTTTCATTCGAAATATGAAATTGATGATTTATTTAGAAAAATTATAGAGGATAAGTATGAACTAATGTAAAGAACTAAAGCTGATAATCCTAATTTACTCTTACCTAAAGATTTTAGCAAATTCATTACTGAAAGATTATTTATGGATTTCTTACTTACAATTTATGATTATTGTGTAGAACTACACAAATTAGAAAAAAAATAAGCAATTTTAGATCAATAAAGTAAAGAAAGATCTGGATTAGCTCCAAAATTATTATCATCTGAAACAGACAAAATTAATTGTAAATTAAAAGAGATTTCAGAAATCTATACTAAAATATTACTAAAAAAAGGAAGTTATAATATCATTATCAAAGACTAAAAGTTCTTTGAGACATTGATTTATTTTATTACATAAGTAAAAACAATCACGATTAATTAGGTATTAAAAGAAGTCTTTGATAAAAGTGATTATAAATATATTGAAGAAGAAATCAATAGGATTTTTAGAACTAATCCATTCAATTTATTAAAGAGAAAACATATTAATGAAAAAATAGAACAAAGACATTATGGAGCAAGAGATCTTAAAGGTGTTAAACATGATTTCAATCCAGATGATGATTTATCAAAAAATGATTTAATTTAAAGAATTTTAACAAGAAAGGGAATGCCAAAAGTATAAATATCTAATATAATAGAGCATAGACAGAGAAATGATGGTTGAAAAATCTAATTTAAAACCTTTTTTTATAAAATCAACTCGATGTGCTGCCATAAAAGCTAGATCTCCATTAATTGCAATTATGTTTCCATCAGCTAAAGAGAGACTATTTCAAATGGAAAACGAAAGAAAATAAATGGCTACAAAATATACACAAAAATAAAGATTAGTTAAAGATTAAGTGGAAATGTGGATTTAAGATTTTGAAAATAGACAAGCAAGAGTTAAAAGTGAACATGAACATACTCTAGATAAATCAAAAATAAACAAAAAAGGATCATAATCCTTTTATTAATGATTAATTACTAAAATGTTTAAATATTTAAATATGTTACCAGTTTCATTTATTTATAATTTCTCTTTGTAATTTAAACAATCAGAAATATGTTTATTATTTATAAATGTTATAACAAAAGATGTTATGATCATTTGATTAGATTGATTAAATATTCAAGAGTCTTACAAAAGTAATTATAAAGAATGAAATTTTAGCTGTCTTAATATATTAATTAATAATATTTTTAATTAAAGCAAATTTTCAAAAAGCTTACTTAATTTTTAAAGTTGAATATTTGATTTCCCATCACATTTATTTAAGATAATTTTCTTAATAAATATTATAATCGTGATGATAACTTACCGGGGATATTAATTTGAACAACAAAATTTATTTTTTTTATTAATGGCAATATTATATCTATAATGAAAAATACAAATTCATATAATATGAATTCATAACCTCTGATTTAGAGAAACAAAAAGAAATTTATAATCAGATGTTTAACTTATATACCTTATAATAAAATATAATTGATTTATTAAAAAGTTTATTCATTAGTATAAATTATTTTGAAGGTCCCCTTTTTATTTTAAAAGTAGTATTAATATGCTCTGACTTATGAATAATATTAACAAGAGGGTGCTCAACTATGATTATTTCCTATTTCTTAATACTAAAAGTTTCTGTTTGAATACTAAACAAAAATACTGAATGTTTTATATAATAATAATGAAGAATAGATAATACAATCAAATGATTTCTCTTTCATGAGATTATTTTCTAGATTTTAGAATAGAATTAGCCTCAATATCTAATTATGGAACAAGGTGTGTAATTTCATGAGATATTTTTTTTTATTTATCTTATTGTAACACAATTGAAACTTCTCTTGTTCTCCCATATTTTTTTTTAAGTTTGTATTTTTGAATTTCTATGGATTCACATGGTCTTTCATGACTTTATGTATCAAGAACATTTTCTTATTCTTTTACTTCAACACTGATACTGCACCCCATTTTATTAAAATATTAATAACTGGAAGGTTAAATTCTTCAGTTTAGAATCTTAATTAAATATGACATCATAGTAATATTCTTTTTACAAATAAAATTTCTATAATTAATTTATTTTTAATTCTAAATTCATTATCCTAATCGATCATATTAAACTAATGAATTTTAGATAAGACTATAATCAATCAAATGTTAATTTTTTAATATAATACTGAAATAATTCAAAAAAAAAATCATAATAATGTATCATTTTTTAGTAATTTCAAATATACAACATATATAAAAATTATATAATAAATAATATAATATTTATCAAGCAAATATTTTCCTTATGAATTCCTTTTCTTATTCATTTAATTTGATAGGCATCTTTACTATGAATTTTATGTACAAATCACCTTTAACACTTGGAAGTTAATGAATAGGCATACCCTCTTAGGCAATTTATTTGACCTAATAGATTTTAATAATTATAATTATATACTTCAAATGGTTAAATAATTTTATTGCTTTCAACTTCAACATAATGATTATCTAAATGCTTAACTCTCTTCTTAAATCCTAAGATTGCTTCTTTTAAAGTAATTTCCATATCCATATATAAATCATTACCCTTTCTTTCAAAAAGAGGATGCTTTATTTGTCTTAAATAAAAGATGACATCTCCTGGGAAATAATCTGGACTTTATTCACTTTCTCCTCTAAAAACTATAGTTTATCCATCAGTCATCCCTTTTTCAACTTCAATTTATAAGGTCTTAGATGTTTATTAAACTCTATTTCCTCTACAATTAGCACAATTTCCTGAACTAATTTTACCTCTACCTCCACATCTATCACAAACAGTTTGCATTTATACTGTAAATCCTATTCCCATATTAACATTTTGCATTCTTTAACCTCTACCATTACAATGTTTGCAAATTTTTAATGTTCCATCTTTTGATCCAGTTCCTTTACACTATTTGCATAATACTTTCTTTTGTAAAGTAAATTCTCTATCTGTACCATTATACAATTCTTCTAATGTTACTTATATTTCTGCTTAAGCATTAGGACCTTTAGGTCTATTATAATATTGTGGATTTGTAAGACCTTCTTCACCATAACTAGAAATAATATGAAAAGGTCTTACAAATCATATATCATTCTTTTTTCAGGATCTGTTAATATTTCATAAGCTTTGTTGATATCTTGAAATCTTTTTGTGGCTTATTTGTCTCCTGGATTTTTATCTGGATGATATGTTACAGATAGTTTTCTAAAGGCCTTTTTGATATCATTATCACTTGCTTCTGGTGATATTTCTAATAGTTTGTAATAATCCTCAGCAGAGATGATAGTTAGAAGAATGAATAAATACACGTACATATATTTTTAAATGATAATATTTTTTGGTTTCACTCATAATCATCTTTATCGATTATCTCTTGTAATAACTCTTTCTTCTACAACTGCCTGTTATGCTGGTATCATCATGTAATATTGCATTTGCATAGTTTGCATTTACAGTTATCTTTAATAAGCCACTATAAATAAAGAAAAGATAATTAGTATAAGTGTTAAATTTACCTTATTCTTCTGGAGTTCTAAACTCTGGCATAGTTTACTATGGAGCCATTTCATTATTGGTTATTTAATAATTAGCTAAAGCATTCGGAGGATTAATCAACAAGGGACTATATTAAATATTTTAGTTTACGTTGGTATATTGATCGTACTGGGATCTACACAAGTTTTAGCAAAGTAAGCTCTATTTATTATCACAAATATATTACTTTTTAGCTCCTTCTAATAATGTTTCAATTTCTCTAATTGCAATATTTAATTATTCCTCAGTTCCACTTAAAACAAATGCTTTATGATCTGGTCTAACTTAATAATCAGGACTTTAAGTTATAGCAACAAAAGCACCACTTCTTTCACTGATAGCTTTAATAGTCACTCCTTTTTTTCCAATGATTAGTGCTACAAATTAATCATGTACTTGGAATTCTATTTTTTTAGCACCAGGAGCTGTTCTAACTTTTCTTTATGTATCAATAATTTCTTATAACAAACCCTAACATTTTTTAACACAATCAGGATCTCCAACAATAAATACATTTCTTGTTTAAGAACCAGGAGCAGAATCAGCAGCAACTTATACATTTTTACATCCAGATTTCTCTTTTAATTATTAAATAGTTTCTCCTTTTACACCAATTACTAATCCAACAAATTCATTTGGAACTGGATAAACATAAGCATCCTTGCTAGGTGGTCCATATGGAGTAGTCATAGATAAATCACTTGGATCTACACTACCACTTTATACTATTGGTTGAGCTGTTGTTGGAGTCTATTATGATTAAGCAATTAATTTCATTTATTCCTATCTATATCGTTATACTATTAAATAAATATTATTATTACATTCATCAGCATCAGCTAATAATATTCTTTCAATTCTATCACATGCATTTGCTGCTTATTATGGAGTTTCTGCAACCACTAAAACATGTAAATCTTCATCATCATCAGGTTGAGGTGGTTATTCTGGTTTTTATGATCCTCTACCTCTAACCAATATTTTAGCTCCTGTTTCTTCTTCCAATTTTTTTTGACTCACTCCCTTGGGTCCAATAATAAGACCAATATAATTGAATGACAAATCAGGAGGAATCTTAATCTTTCTTCTTACTTTTGTTGGGTCGTTTAGCATTTTTAATATTGTAGGATTCATACCAGGTACCTTTAATAAATATTTACCATTACAAATGTATATTGCATCTATGTTTGCATTGTATGAGACTATGGAACAATCAATGCTTGAGCAGCTAAAAAATTTTAATATCTTCTACTTTGTGGTGTTGCAGAAGTTTTTGGATTATTGTACATATCTCTTAAAAAGTCATCGGTATTTCCAGTTTTTGGTTATGAAGCTACTCCCCAACCTGTTGATCTTCCTAATCCAGTCTCTACTTTCTTCCTATCTCTTTCTTTTGATTTGGATTATTTTTTTTCTTTAGATCTAGATCTTTACTTTTCTTTAGATTTAGATCTATTCTTCTTTTTGGGTGTCCTCGACCTTGATTATTTTTTTCCTTTTCCCATATATTTTTTATTTAAAATATTGTTTTTTATCTTTAATATAAATTTAGATATTCATCTAATCGTTTATCATTAAAAATTAGTATTCTACCTTAAATCAAATATGATTCATAATTGTTTTATTTATGATATAAATTTATTTAACAAGAAAGAAATCCAACATTAATATATCAAAATTGAAAGAATCATTAAAATTATTTACTTAAACAAGGTAAATATGATTTTGTAAATTAAATAGATAATTTAAGTATTCATAAATTTTACTTATTTTTCTTATTATACATAATTGATAATAATTTAATAGTATTATACTTTATTCTTAATTCTTTATTTACTTTGTATTCCAGAAAATATTATTTATAAAATAAAACTTTTAGAATAATATATTTAACAAATAATAATATTTAGGAATATCAAGCTAATATTTATTGATAAAGATAATGTATTATATATATAAATTAAATTAATTACTTAAAATTTAACTATTTTTAACATTCATTTTTATATATATTTTCATCATAGAAATACAAAAATTGGCATATTCTCTAATATTATTTAATATTTGAAAATATGAATATAATTCACATTTATCTAAATATTTGTTCTAAAGAGATTTCAGTAATTTAATAAAAATTATTCTAAATTATGAATACATAAAGACTCCCTCATTTATAATCTCCCAGGAGACCTCAAACTAAAGCAAAGTAAAAATCAATTACTTTGAATTTAACTATCAAGGATTCTCTATAAGAAATATCAACATTACGTACAACAACTTAGAGCAGATCAAACATTTAATTATCGTAGACTGATAGAGTGAAAACATACTCTGATGTTTCCTATCTTAATTTAAGAAATACTCCCTCTTAAAAATATTCTATATCTTCTACAAAAATACCCTTAAGCAATATTGCAAGAGATCCATAATTATATGAATTTGTAAAATTATCGGTTATATATTTAGCATAATTAAGTTAATAAAACTAACATTTACACATCAATTATTAAGGAAAATGTGAAAGGTACATTTATCGATAATCCTACAGAATTAAAAATGCATGAGAAAACAATTGATTTTTCACCATTACTCCAAAACATCAAGATACATTAATTTAAATACTATCTTCAGTCAATTTTACAATAAGAATGCAAAACCATCTTTGATTCAAAATGTCCTCCAAATAGATAGCAAGCTATTGATCTATTGAAGTGGTTTGATTATATGATTTAAACTTTAAACACTGACAATTTACAATTAATAACTGACTTAACAAATTAATTATAATTAGTATATCAAACTTGTATTCATGAATTAGCTAGGTAAATATCATATGAATGCAAAGAAAGAGGAACTTTATTATTAATTATTTGGAATTCATTTGTATCTTTTATAGATATGCTAATTTAGAATGTTGCAATGAATTATGAAGAAATGGAAAAATAATAAATAGATACTGTTTAGAGAATTTAAAAGACAAATTAAATCTTTGTATAATAATTATAATAAGAAATTAATCAATTAAAATAATCAATAGAATAATTACAATTAGAGAAATCAGAATTAAATGATAAAAATATATATTTATCAAAAAAGAACCTTTAATTGACTAATGAAATAAAATTATTGAGTTCTTAATTAGATGAAATGACTGATAATCATAATAAAGTATATAATGAATTACTTTAAACAAAATTGCAAATAGAAACTCATTCATCATAATAAACAACTGAAAAAATTAAAATTGGAATTCAAGAAGGTTAATCTGTTGTAGCACATCTATTATCAATGAAAAATACAATGTTTTCTAAATTATAAAAGAAAACATCTATTCAATTTGAAAAAGTTGAATAATTAAAAGAAGATGAAGAATATTTTAAGTAAGGATTATCCAAAACTGATCTTGATTAATTGAATTCAACATTTTAATAATAAAATATGTTAAAATTACAATCAAAGGCAATACTCCCTGTTAATACAGAAGATAGTATAATATTTAATTTATCTTAGAGGATGTTTAAACAGATTAATCTTTTTTATTTTTATTTGATCATATAGAAGATTTATTTAATCAAAGATAAACAGATTCATATACAAATATGTAATTATTTATATAAAATTTTAGTTAGATTTCTAAAAATGAAATAATGTAAAATTATAAAGATTAATTAATTTAACTATTACATTTCTGTAATAATAATTAGATGGATTAAGAAGTTGAAATAAAAAAGAAATTTATAGAATAAATGTTAGAATTGTAAGAACAAAAAGTCAATGCTAAATATTACGAATAAACTTTGTAAGAAGCAACTCAAGAATTTATAGAATTACTTAAAAAAAAGAAATAGAAAATAAGAAAACTTAAGAAAAGTTAAACATAATTATAAAATCGTCTTAATTCAAGTAAATTAAATCATATACTTTTAAAGTGCAAAGTGAAAGTAGTCCTCCTAAATAAGATATTCCATAAGTACTAGTGAATTCCCCTGGAGTAAAGACACCTTCATTTAGAAATTCTTTAGTTTTAAATTAACAAGATGTTTTATAAGAAGATATTATCGAAAGTGATGAAAAAAACGAAGAAGATTCAATTATTCAAAATATATAATAAAATTAGAATATTAAAGAATCAAACTTTGATTTAGATCAATTAAATAATTAATAATAAAATTTAAATGAAGAATAATTTAATCCTATTAAGAATAACATTTATTAAGAGGATTATCTAATGAATAAAGATATAAAAGACAATTAGTATTAAGATAATAACAATTAAGAAGATGAAATTAATAATCAATTTGAGGAATTAAATACATAGAATTCTTAAAATAAGAATAATTTAAACACTAGTATTAGTAGAAAAAATAGTAGAAGTAGTTAAAGTAAATTAAGTATTGAAGACTTGGAATCTCAAAATTAGAAATAAAAATCTATTCCTCCTATGAAGAATAAATCAAATAGAAAATCTTTATAAATAAAAAGCTTATCTACTATTAAAGATTTAGATGATGAACCTAAATAGTAATAATTGAAAAGAAAACTTTCTAAAGTTGTAAAATAAATACAATAAAAATCTAATAATACAATAAATACTCTTGATTAATCAAGTGATGCTAATGATAGTGAAAATTTATCATTAGTTTCTAGTGATGATTTGTCAGAAAAAGCAAAAGAAGAAGAGATTAAGAAAATTGAGAAAATAAGAAATCTTGTATAATAATATGGAGGAATCAATATTTAAAAAAGAAGATTTACAAAACCATTAGCAATTAAATTATCATTATTATCTGATTTAAAAAAAGAAAGAAGAGTTAAAAGAATTTATAGTTAAAATACAGATGCTGCAAATTCATTATTACATGAGGTTATGAATATCAAATTTAAAAAACAAAAGGATTCAATAATACCAATTTCATCAATTATTAAAATATTTAACACTATCATATCTGATACTGCTAAAAATTAAGAAGGATATAAAATACCATTACATGTTAGTATTTATGATTTTTTCTTAAAGAAATATGGATTTAAAAATGTAGCTGAAAAAAAAATAAAATAAGTATTTATATATAAATTATTATTTAGTTACTTTAATTTATATTTCATAAGAAAAACTAATACCCAAAATTATGTTTGATTTCAAGATTATGTTATATGGATGATGAAATGGATGAGGCTGTTTATAAATTAATTGTTGAATCAATTAAGTATTTTCATAATAAGTAAGTATTTAATTTATGTAGAGAAATATAATTAAATAAACCTGAAATAAATTTAACACATGAATAACTCATTGAATATTGCAATGATTTTCTATAATAACTTCTAGGTTAAAATTATATCACTTAACTTTTACAATAATTTAAGCAAAATAATAATAAATGTATTTGTACTTGATATATCAGAGACATCATATTTGAAAATGTAATGATCTAAGTAATGAACTTGTATTTTTAAAAAAAAAGATAATGTGAAGATAGTTTGAAATTAATATTTCAAGCTGCAGATTTAGATGGAAATAATCTTATTGAATTCTCAGAAGTATTACTTTTACATTCTAATATTTAGTTTAAAAATTTATATAAAGCAATACATCCTAATATATATGATAAAAATGTAGCATTGGAACAATTCATAAGTTATGCTGATTATATAGAGGAATTATCAAAAAATAAAATGATTACTCTACCAAGATTTGCAGAAATGGCAATAGAATTAAATTTATTTTCTAAAGAATAAATAAATTAATATAGTAAAGGATATGAAACACTATTACAAGAATGGGAGGAATAAAAAAATTTTATTAAATTTAGATATTTAAAAGCTGAAAAGTTTCCAAAAGTTAAATTCACATTTAATTTATTAACAGAATAAATTAACTTATTAAAAAATAAATAAAAAACTACTCATGATCCATAAAGTAATTATTAATTTAATTTATTAGCATTATGGGTGAGCTACAAATTATTGTAAGAGAAATCACAAAGAGTTGTTTTAAAGTATTGATTATTTATATTTTAGCCATGAAATCAGAGAATGCTTTTTTGATTTAGTTCCTCATGAGTTATGGATAATATAATAAGGATATAGAGCAATAGAAGAGTTATGTATATGAAATTAATTAGATATTATATATTTATTAGATATCTTTATAATAATTATATTAATAGTCATAAAAATAGTAATAGATATAACTAAAAATGTATTATTTTATTTTAAATGGATAAAATTTGGTATTCCTAATTGATATTTAATTATTTAATTCATTATTTATTCAATTATAATACTTTAATTTTATAAAGATACTCAATAATCAACAAAATTATTTTGATATATTAATAATAATAAAAGGTAATAATTAAAAATTATGTAATTAATATTATAATGATTTTTTTCTTTGTAAAATTTTAATACTCATCATAAGTATTAAAATTATAAAGAATCTTGTAATTCAGATATTATAAAAACACATAAAATTGATATTATGATAGTAATGTGTTAATGATTTATTACTTACAAATAAGTTTAAAATACAAAGAAACAATTTAAATATTATTTATATTAGAAGCTGATTTACTTGACTAAGTAAATATATATATGTATAAAAATTTCAATAATGTTTAAATAATATGTTTTTATTTATTGTTGGTTTTATTATTAAAAATGCTATAGGGATTTTGTTTTGTTTCAATGTATTAGCCTAGCTTTACTTTAAACATAAAGATTTAAAAATTAGTATTGCTAATATATTATTGTCAAACATTAGCATTAGCTTTTCCATTAGATGGTTGGAATTAATGGACTTATACAGATGGAGCTTTTAGAATGACAAAAAATTTATTAAATATGATATTGGTTTTTCCTTTTGTCAATGAAGTAAAATCATCAACATTGATATATGTTTTGATACTACTATTCTCTTTATTTAACATTTTCATGTTGCTAGCAATATTTTTGATTGCCAAATTTAAAAATAAACTTTCATTTATGCTAACTTTTACATATTGGTATTTAGTAATTGTTCCTAAATTATTTTTTATACCATAATTGTTCATATTTATTGGATCTCTATCATTTAGTTAAAGAGCTCTATTATATTCAAATTTTTAATTTCATGCATATTTACCAGTGAGTGGAGTAGGTTTGTTAATACTGTCATGTTTTTGTTTTTTTAGTAGCTACTTTATTAGAAGTACAAGATTGTAATAGGATAATGGCTTAATATAAAAATTTAGTTTATTACTTTTTATTGAATAATGTCTTAACATTATTATTACTTGTTTGTATTTTTAAAATAGAAGTACATTTAATATTGTAGTATAATTATTAATGATGCATCTGTATTATTTATGTTAATTCATTAACGCATTTTATGTTGGAACCTTCCCTCCTCATTTATCTAAATTCTGCTTAATTATAATTTCATCATGTTAAAGCTTACTAATAGTTATAACCATAAATTTATCATCAAGAAATCATATAATATAAGAAGAATAAATTTTAATAATGTGGTTGATATTTATGACATTTTCAATTTCTATAAGCTCAATATTAAATGATAGAAAATAAATTAAATTACTCTTTAAATAAACAAATGTCTTTGAATTATAAGAGTTTGTTTAATATATTTATTATATGATGCCTGAATTAAGAAATAATGATTTCAAAATTTAGAATAGATTTATTTATTGTATTTTTATTCAAAATCATTTATAATAATGTATAAACTGTTAAAAGATTAGATAAAGTAAAAATAAGGTAGCTTCTAAATTTTTATTTACTAATGTACTTTATTGTATAATAAAAGAACATCTTACAGTTTTAAAATTGAATTCTAAATCTGAATATGAATAATTTGAGATATATTATGCAGATTTTCTAAATAAAATTAAAAAATAACCACTATTATCTTTTGTAGAATTGAAAGTATACTAATTATAAAATTCACAAGCATCTCTATATTTAAAAAATACTATTTAGTACTTTTTTCAAGATCTTTAATAAATTATACTTGATACAAGATTACAATTTCTTTAAAATCGTCATAATTTTGAAGAGAATTGTCTTGAAATAAAGGATATTATGTAAGCAAATTCTATAGAAGAATAAATTTTACCTTAAATAGTTGAACTTATAGATCATAAAATAAGAATTTGGAATGAATAGATTAATGGTTTAGATTCTATATATGATTTAGAATAATTGATTGTGAATTATACAAGTAAAATATTAAGTTGTTAAGATTTATTGTAATAAAAATTATAAATAGATTTAATGAATTTAAATTAAATCTAAAAAGCTAGAAATGTTATAGAATTGAGGATTGCATCAATATTTCATTTGATAATTTTAAATGATTTTTATAGTTCTCTATAATGTGAATAATAAATATCTGAAGTTTTGGCAATGGAGAATTCACTTCCAAATGATGTTATTAGTAATATTGATATTCTTTAAGATAATTTATGTTTAATTATGGTTAGTATGGTAAAAAATAGAGGATATATAAAAAATAATAAAAAGAATTAGATTGCTAATTATTTTGGATTAGATATTAAAGAAGTAGAAAGTGTAAATCATATTAATTAGTTCATTCCTCAATTTATTGCTGATATTCATGAATAATTTTTATAATCTTATTTAGAAACAGCATAATCTCCATTATTTAATTAATATGAAATTGTATTTAGTAAATTAAAAAATGAATTTGTATAAGCATAATAATTAAAATTAGAAAATAATTTTGATTTTTTTGATGATTATGTTGTTACTGGATGTTTATCAAAAGTGAAAGAAACATCAGAATTTATATTATTTGATGAAAATGGAAAGATTCTATCAGTAACTTAAGGATTTTATACAGATATAATTTAATAATCATTTCAAGAAGAATTAAATGCTTAAACAATTAATTAAGCTTATATATTTGTATTTTTTACTAATATATTTTCTATTTTAGAATCATAAAAAGATAATATTAATTAATCAGAATATCTTTAAGTAGAATTTATGACAACAATAACAATTTTTGAAAATTTATCTAAAATAATATAATTCTTTTATGAAAATAAAATGGCAACTTCAACCTCATTTGCATATTCATTAAGAAAAAGTATGCAAAAAACAGCAATATTATCTTAGAATAAGACATATACAAGTAAAAAATAAAAAGAAAATATACAAACAGGGAGATATTATGTAAATAATAGTGTAAAATTATCTGATGATATTTAATTACTTTGTCCTCGTTTTAAAAGTTAAGTATTAGAATATATGCAATAATATAATGTAAATTCTTATTAATATTTTAGAAATTCTAATCTGTTTAATATTTATCGAAAATATCATTATAATATAGAACTATTGGTAAAAAATCATCTTAAAAATCATACTTTATAATTGAGATTTTGGATTATAGGAAAAAAGGTGCAAATGCAATGTCTTCTGTTAATTCAAAATAATACGATAGTATATATAATAATAAGAGTATTCTTTTTATATTTAATCTAATTAGATTTTAGTAGTGTATTAACAGATATTACAACAAGTGAAAGAATAGTTCAAAAAGATGAATAAAAACCTAATGTAAATTTTATAATTATATAGGAAATAATTGGGAATAGTTTTAATCATTTATTAAGTGATAGAGAATAATTATTTGGAGTATTAAATTAATCATTTTAAGAGAGTTAAAGTTTTGGTCCTTTATCTTAAAGAGCAAACTTTATTTCTCCTAGATAACATAATTTAGATGATGAATTAAAGAAATTAGAAATTGAATTTTAAGATATTAGAGTAAGTTTTAATGGTGGACCATCTATTCATTAATATGTTGGGGATGAAAAAGATGATGAAGATTATAATAATGAATCTAAATCTAATTAACCATAGAAATCAAGTAGTGAAAAACTTTAAGAAAAGAGTTATAAAATGTTAAAATTATTAACTAATTACAAAGATAAAGGAATTAAGGAAAGGGATGATCATTAATCATATTCTAGTAAAACATCAGGAACTTCAAAAACATAGTATATCTCAATTATCAAAAATTTTTAACACTCTAAAATTATGATTACCAGTCTAAAAATCATTTTAATTTTAACATTAATATTATTTCTTTGTGCTCTATCAACCATTATAATTAATACTTAAGTCATTAAATCATAAATTGAGGATCTAATAGATAGTAGTTATTCACTTAATGCTCCATTACTTTTCAATAGATATTTTTTTTAAAGTTATGCTTTATCATGGACATTGTTAATGAATGGACTTAAAATTCTAAAAAGTAGTGATTTTTTAAATAATCAAACTTTCACAACTATTAAACATTAGGGAAATGAAACATTTGAAAATTTAGGCATTATGTATCCCAAATTTATAGAGATTGAAAATATGGGATTATTATCAAACATCAGTATTCAACTACTCGGTTTACCTAGAAAAACTGTCTCTTATACTGAATTTATCAATAACATATAAAATACACTTTAGTATTTCTTCTAGATTAAGTATTTTTCAAATGATGAAACTGATTAAGTCTTAGATTTAGATTATGTTAATTCAGTTGTCACACTTAGATATAATTTAAAATATGTTTTTGACATGAATAAGGAATTAATCTAATCATTAGATATCATGAGTTAAAATATGATTATAAATGGTACATCTAAATTGTAATCATTAACAATAGCAGAGATATGTTTTATATTTTTTATTCATTTAATTTCATTGTTTTTTTGGAAAAAGACTGAGAATTAAAAATAATAAATTTTATTAATTAATGGTAGACTTTAAGAGAATTCTGTAAATGATATGATATATAAACATATAAATATCAAATCCATATTATAATTAGCAGATTAAAAAAAGAATAATTGGAAAAAATAATAAATTTGTATGATATTTTAATAAGTTTTGGATAATTAAGAAGCAAAATAAAGATATTTAGAATAAAGATTTAATTAATTTAATAAATCTAAAAATGACTAAAATAAAAAAAAAGGGTAAGTTGGTATGCTTAATTCTAGAATACGTAATACATCATATTCAATTAAAAAATATATTTGTTATTATATTGCAATATTTTTGATACTATCAAGTTTTTTATTAGGAGGCTATTTTTATTAAACTTCATTAATGTTTAATCTTATTCCTTAATAAAAATTAACTTTAAATTTTGTTAGATTTTCATCTTATCTTGATACTCTAATAACAACTGCCTTAGTAATTAAAACATAACCTTAAGTATATCCTGCAATTGTTTCAAATAAAATTTATACATAAGCTTAAATGAATAAATATAGGGATCCATTAAAATAATTATTTTATATGTTTCTTGATGTTTATGAAGTTTATGATTAAAATTTAACAGAAATCTATGAAGGTATATTATTTTCAAAAGATATTGATGATTCTAAAAAAGAACTATTATTAGGATTGTATGAAAGTGATATTTGTTAAATAATTTATCATGATATTCCATTTTGTCAATATGAAACATTAGGAGAAATCAATTTTATTTAAAAATATTCTTAATTTCATTTTTAAGACAATAATAGAGATTATTTGGAAAATGGTCTTGTTGGGATTACTAGTAGTATTAGTTATTTTATGAAAACAAATTATGATTATGAAATTGCAACTATTACTTATGTCACAGATTTTAATGAACTTAATAACTTATATAAAACACAAGAATTTACTAATATAATACTAGAGCATTTCAGTTCAACTACATAAAGTACAGAAAAGATATTAAATATTATATTGTCAACAAATGAAATAATATTAAATGAATACTTGAAACTAATTACTATTTATTATGGATTGATAGGAACTGGATTGTTGGTCCTATTCTCATTTTTTTTCTATCGATTATTGGATTAAACAGATGATAATTTCATTCATTTAAGATTAGGATTGACCTTAGTCCCTATAGAAGTGATTACGGATCAATACAATATTTAATTGATAAAATAATTAAATTGATTATGATATATTTAATAATAATCATTCTTAATTTGGTTAATTCAAATTGATTTCTTCTGATTATAAACCATCTTATTCAGGGTATATCTTTTAATAGTTAGGTGAATCCTATTAATTTATAGTTTTTTCTAATAAAATAATATAAATTTATCATACATTGTTTAATTTCTTCAGGAACAAAGAAGGGCATTAATACAGGTTAATCACTATTTTCATTAACAAATAAAGGTGCTTATGGATCTTTCCTTCTCCTTTGAATTCCTCTTCTTGTTTAATATCTCAAAGTAGCCCATAATTTTTTAACTTTTTCATTCATTTTTGCTTAATTAAACAGCATTTTTCTACTCCAAGGATATTTTTCTTAAATCTCTGGATGGTGAATTCTTAATTCATCTCTTATTTTATCAAGTTAAGGTTAGAATTTAATCAAATATCCTTCAAATAAATAATAAACCATAAGAAGAATAAAAGCAAAATTAATAAGACCAACAATGATAATCATAATAATTTCTAAATAAACTAGATCTTCTTTAATTGCAGAATAAATTAAAACACCCAAACATAGAGAAGCTGCACATATAGCTGTAGATAATCTATCTATAAAATTGAGTCTTTTGCTTGAATAAGGTTGGAATTTAATTGTAAATCCTCCATAAAAGAATACAATTAAAAATATAATTAATCCTTTAACAACAACTCTATCTTCATAAAATGTTAGGAAAATTATGATTAACTCTTTTTCAAATATTTTTACAAATTCCCAAAGATAACCTTCCTTTGTGTATTCATTATAAAAGTAACCTAACTTTTTTCTACTATCAAAGTCATCCAATTTATTTCTTAACTTGTATACTAAATACATAAAGATACAAGGAAATAGAAATGCCCAACATATAAGCATAGGAGCAACAAATCCAGCTAGCCAAATATAATGAGTATCAGTATCATATTAATATAATACATCTGCTTAAACCCATCCAAAACCTCCTATTTCTCTGGAAGATGCTAATGCAATAAATCCTCCAACTAATGTAGGTTATAGATATAAAAACATATAAATAAAGGCAGTATATATAATACCTTCTTTAAAATCTACTTTTTTAAGTAAAACTGCCAAAAAATACCCAAATAGAAATACAGCTAAGTAAATTATAGGCATAAGTAATGCCCAAATAAGTCTAAAGTATAATATTTCAATACTAGTCATAGTAACTAAAAAGCAATCAAGAGAGTAAGCCATAGATTGAGTTGGATTTCCCATAACTTAAGTAGCATTTGTAATACCTTCACTTAAGTTTATTTGGAATGTTGATATAGCAGAGAGAATTTAAAAATAGTTTGTAAATAATTTAATAAGAATTGCTAGATTACTTTGAGATGGAGATACTAAAATACCCATAGCAATCCTATTCTAAGTTTTAACAAAATCTTCAAGCATTTAGTAATTACCTTTAACAGATAAAATCATTGAGAATAGAGTGACAAATGATAAGGCTGTAATTACAATGGCATTAACAGTTAATGTATCAGCACAAGGACCACATTTATATTTGGCTGAAGTGGAATAAAATTCATCTCTAACACCATAAATATCACAAGATTCACATAATGCTCCCATATGGCCAGTATAACATGAAGGATTACCAGGTTTCCAACCACCATTACAATTTTAAGGTAAATTCAAACAATATGTAATTATTTCACTATCAAATTCTGGTCTCCAATAGCCTTCTTTTAATTTAATACCTACAGGACTTACATCATCCATAGTAGTACTATCCATAGCTTAACATTAAGTTTATTTTTCATTAACAGAATATGTTTTATCACTCTTTGTACAAGCTTTGCATTTTTATAATTAATAGGCTTCTCCCAATTAGCAAGGCAAAGTTTTAACATTAACATAAAGAGCATAATTTTGATTATATGATAATATTTTGAATGGTGATACAGTTTCATAAACAGGAATTTTAATAGTTGTACATTCAACTAAAAATAATAGAAAATAATATATATACATCTTAATTGCAAATATAGGTTATCTTCTAAATAAGGATCAAAAGTAACTATTAAAGAATCTAAATCAAAAGCTCCTGCTTTTTAGTCATAATAGAATATTTATTAATTTGTAAAGTTTGATAAAAATTCTTTACTTGTATTATAATTATCAATATCCATAATTCTACCTGTTAAAGTACATGATTCTGTTGAATGAATATTTGACATAGGTTATTTATATCTATCCAAATTAATAATTCTAAATTACCAATCATATGGTACTTATTCATCAGTATCTGAGTAATAATATTTATATGTATTAATAGCTTAACCTGATGGTAATAATAAATAAGTTGTAGTATTTTTATAATTGAATAATTGATATGGATCCAAAGAGATGATATCAATGATTGTGCTTTTAGAACTATCAATAAATCCATCTTCATTGACATCACCATCATAATCCTCAAAAGTAATTGTTTTCATAAGCTCATTACTCTTCATTGATAAGGTTAAACTTTAAGGATATTCTTCAAGATTATCTCCTCTTAATATTCCTTCATTATTTTAAAAGAAAACTTCAATAGAAGATACATTTCCAATTGAACCACCTGAAATAAACATACCTCCAGCCAATTAAGCTACATTTCCTTCTACAGTATTATCAGCAATATTTAATATAGTAGAACCAGTTTTATAGACAACACTTTTATAATAGAGTGCTCCTCCCATTAAACTAGCATAATTATCAGTAAATTCTGAGTGAATTATTAAAGCATCCAAACCTATTATTGTTAAACCTCCACCAACTTTAGCTGAGTTTCCAATAAATTATGATCTTGATATGATGATCACATTTTTTTATTTAAGCAAATCATCTACAACACTTAGAATTCTTCTAGAATTAGATAATTCATAATCAGTTAATGGTATTGATTATTCAACTTCACTTAGTTCATTATCATAAGTTAGTACTAAACAACCATAATAACCAGCATGATTAGATAGACATAGAAAATCATTAATTTCAATTACAGGATATGTTTCCTAATGAATTTTTAAGACTTAAATTAATCCATTTTTACATCTTAAACATTTATTATTTTCTACTGTAATTTATTCAATAGTTAAATATTAATTTGATGTAACTGAATTTAATTTAAATAGACCCGTTGTTATAGATGAAAATAAATCTGTGTAACCTTCTAGAAGAGTAGATAAATAGCAACCAATAAAAATAGAGTTTTCTTCATTTGGAAAAGTTATAAAAATTGGAAAATCTAAATTTAATCTAATATTATCTAAAATTGTATGTTAGAATTATAAATTATAATTTGATTTATCTACTTTATATTTTAATACATCAGTTAAAGCTTTATAAAAATCATCTAAACTAGAGAAATATATTGGATAATTATTATCACCAATTTAATTGATAATTGTGGGCAAACCATCTGATCTAAAATTTGAATCCAAAAAATCCACAGCTGAACAAGTTTGTTCATATAAAATATTTTTAGATTCATAATTTACATAATAGTCATTTATATTTACACATTTATTAGATGAAGGAGGATCATATTAAGAATGACTTAAAATCTTAGTTGATGTTAATGTGATTACTCCTGAAATTTCATATAAAGTTATAGAAATTATACTGTTTATAAAAATGACATTATTTGTAACTGTTACATCATTTATTTCAACTTCAACCATCTCTTCTAAATTCATAACAGCTACATAATTAAATTCTTTAAATATTGAAGAACTTAGTGTAAAGCGTCCATAACTCTAATATAAAATAGAGGATTTTGTATATAAATATTCATTATCAATGGAAGTTAAATCAGGAATATTTCTTAAGAAATTAATCATATTATTCTAAGAAAAAGATGATGAAGTTATACTAACACTTGGTAGTATTGGAGAAGAAGTAGAAAATGGCATATATAAGGCAGATGTTTTAAGTCCCATGCAGTTGTTAAATTTTGAATTACTAATTGTAACTGAGGATTGATAGGTTGAAGGATCTAAATATAAACACCCTCCATCTAATCTAGTTACACATTCTGACATTATGACTTAGTCAATATTTAATTATAATTTAGAGTTAGAGGAATCTACATATAAACATCCTCCATTTGATGAATATTAATTTAATAAACTATTATATTGTCTTGTAAATTGAGTATTAATTATAGAAATGATTCCACTATCAATTGTCTCTATAACTAATCCTGAACCTCTAATTGCTTAACCTTTATCGAAAAGCGAATTTTCAATTTTAGTAGTATCTGATTTTATATACATATTGCCTCCTTAACTATAAATAGGAAAAAATTATTCAAGAATTGTAATTATATAATCCTCATCTTTTTAAATAGAAGTAGAATTTACAATTTATTATTCTTCCAATCTATAAACCCAATCTTTTTGTCTAATATTTGTATTTTCAAATTTGGAATTGAATATTTCAATAGAATATGTTACAATATAAATTACACTATTATGTACTCTAGTAGCTCTATTATTATTAAAGATACTATTTTTAATAGTAAGAAAAGATAAAGGAGCTTAAATGATGAAAACTGGAGAAGATGGAGTTAATTAATCACTAATTAAAGAGTGTAAATGGTTATGTGAGAATTCACAATCTTCTATAATAATATCTTAATCTTATTCAGATTGGATATAAATTGAACCAATAGCTGTTCCTGATTCTGTAATAACTAAAGAATTTCCTATTACTTTAATATTTTTTAGTTTGAGTATTTCACGAGTTGTATTATGATAAAATAAACCTTCATCTTAATTTACTACATCACTTGTTGTATTAAATTGTTCAACATCCCAAGATTTAATTTAAATAAAGTTTGTATCTATAGATAATAATCTTCTCATAACTACATTTTCAATCATTACTCCTATTTCAAAATCTGAAATATATAAGAAATGTTCATTATAACTTTTAAATTCAGTTTTTCTATCAGCACATTCTTTACTAGTTGGTATCTTATTATTTGTTGGATTTAATTATGAATTATAATATTAACTTTAACTCCAATCATATACTCCATCAATTAATTAAAAGGATTAAATTTTATTAACTGCTATTTAAGTTATACCAAGATTGTCTAAAGATTAGAAATTAGAAATTTGTATTTTTTAAACTGAAGTTAATAAAATTAATGCTGAAAATACTGAATTTGATTCCTTATCTGTTAATTTCATTGAATTTGTTTATTCGATATAAAAATCACTCAAAGATATATTTGTCTAATATTGATAATTATTAATTGGAGTTGAGATTTTAATAAAACAAACAGGAGTTAAACATAAAGATTTAATTATTTTAACATTGTTAAATGTATATTATTATAAAGCTATTGATGCTTATAATTCATCTATTACTTTATAACTATTCTAAAATAATCGACTTTCTGTATAAAATGAACTATTTAATGAATAAATATTTTTCAAATAAAATGAATTAGATTAAACTAATTTTGAACCTTCAGTAAAATTACATCTAATTATATCTAAATTATTTATAATAGTTTTATTTTATGATTTTAAATTTACAAACCAACTATTTGTAAATGTAGTAAATTTAAATACTACTTTTCCAAAATTAATTATTCCACTATTTATAGCTGAACCTTCTTTTTCACCAAAAATGACAGTATTTGTTAATTTACATTTTTGGAATGTCATTCCTAAAGTTCCAATACTCTATTTAATAGATTTAACATTAGAATTTGAATTAGGTGAAAATAGAATAGCATTTTCAAAATTACATTAATAAAATGTAACATCATCAAAAATATAAGAAACAGTATCAATATTTTCTAAAGGATATGGAAGTGAAAAAATATCATCTGATTTTAAACCACTAAATTCAACTTTTTTCCAATTAATTTTATCAATATTTTCTGCCAAAAATACCATTTTTGTACTTGAATGTATTTTTGTAAATTTAAAGTTTTCCAAACTCAATTTTGTTTTTACATTTTAAGAAATATTCAAACCTGTATAAGGATATGTACTATTAGTAGTTAAAGCTTTAATTTCAATTCCTTTAATAGTCAAATAATCTGACCATGGAATACTTAATATACCATCAAGATATAAAACTAGTGGAGATTAATTAGAATCTGTTTGTCCAATAATATTAACATGGAAGAATCGAATAGAAAAAGCATTCCTTTGGAATTAAAATAGAAAATTAGTACTTTTCTCAAAATTACATTCTTTTTTTCCACTCTTTAAATATACATTTAAAACTAGAGTAGTTACAACATTTATATTTAATGACTTATAAAAGGTCAAAGTCTCTACACTATCCAATGTAATATTAGTGGCATAATTTGATGATGTTGATGTAGTATAGAAATAACTTAAACTATATATATAATTCTTTCTATCTGCATTTAAAACATTATTATACTCTGATAAATATTCATCACTTTAACAATACAACTATATATCTATTTGAGCATTTTAAACGCATTTTCCAGTTTATAGATTTAATTAAAAACATTCAATTGGCATATTTAAATAAGTATCATATGCTACATTATAACTGTATGGTATATTTTCATCAAAAGCATAACACAATCTACTATATTTTAACAATATAGAGTTTGAAGGTGAAAAATAATAATTAACTCTATTAAGTTCATCTTAAGTCCTATCTCTGCAAGCTGTACATCTATAAGGACAAGTTTGACATTCTGTCAATTCAGAATTTAAAGATCTATCTCTATAATAATTGAAACATTGTCCACAAAAAGCTCCATTCCTTTGATATTCACAAGCATTCAATAAGAAAGACAATGGATTATTTGCAACTTAACTAGGATTTGAAATGACACAATTTTTAGTACAACCTACACAAGAATTTCCATATTTTGAAAATCCAGTAGTACATAATGAACAAAACGGTTCTTCAAGCATAGTAGTTAAGTACTTAGACTTTTTGAATGAGTCTACAATAACTCTCTATTATATATAACTAGTAAAATTATAATCTTTGTTATATTATGAGCAAGTAGAACAATAAGATGGACAAGGTAAACAAGAATTTGTAAAGAAATCAGCATAATAACCTTCATCACAAATTAAACAAGCATAAACTTTTTAAGTATCTCCTGTTTTTTGAGTACCAGATTCATCATAATATGTTACAATATCATCACTAGGACTGTCATATGAATAACAGTAAGCACAATTATCTATTTAATCACTACATCCTAAAAAACATTATCCTTGTTTAGTATCTAAAGAATATCCCTATATTATATTATTAATTTAATACTGATGAACATTTAATGCATATATAATTAGTACCACTAAATTAATGAGCTATGCAATTAGATATTTTTTTGGCAGCAATAGCAGCAGTACAAGAAGTACCATCTTCTGATAACACAAAATCAGTTTTACAATATAAACACATACTTACAGGATCTAAATCTGTATCCCTATCATATGGTGTGAAATCAAGATCAATAGAATTTCTTGTCATAAATGCAGATTCTTTAAGAGTTATTTTATAATATCCAATATCACAATTACTTATCTAAGTAGGTACACATGATTAACCATCATAATTTATGATATCATTACTTTATTAACATTATCTACACATTTTAACATACTTATCTTTGTCATTGACTTGTAAATAAGATCTTGATGGATATTTTATACTAGTAGTTTCAGTTTTTGAAACATATTCACATCTTAAACAATTTGCTTCACATCCTTCACAAGTCTTCAAATCCAAACTGGGAATATATCCACTTTAACAAGCTTTACATTTTTAATATTCTACGTTATATTCACTTTCTGTGATGCATAGACTACAATTGTTAGTACATTTAACACAACTTTTAGTTAAGGAACTCCATCTATAACCATCCTAACATTATTCACAGTTATCAGTAATACCAGACCCAATAATGCTACTGCATTTACTGCAATATTTAATTGAGCAACTTTCACATTTATTCATCTTAAAATAATATCCCTCAATACATTCTATCCCAATCTTATCATAGTCAACTTTCTTGTAATCATGGTCGAATCCATAGCATGAACTTTCATCAGGAGTTTTGCAGAAATCTTTGCATCCTGTACATATATAGACAGCATATTTCATTTGTCTTGATCTTGTCACCGTTTCAGACCAGGTTCCTAATTTTATTGAATTACCAACAAAAAATAATTCAGGATAATCTCTTTCAATTTTTTGATAAGTTCCTTATCCAATTTTACCATTACCAACTTCATAATCATAAGTACATTTCCTACTGAATTCCCAACCATAAGGATCTTCAAAGCAATCCATACAATAATTTACTAAATCTGAATTGATATTAACCTCATAATAAGGGCTATGATATTTATTACTAATTTACCATTAAACACATTCTGGTGGCTTAGTATCTGAAGATCCCAATGTAAATAAAAAGTAACCATACTCGCATTTTGGAGGATTAGTACTGCAATCTTCTACACCTAAAACACATAGTTCTTAACATCCGGATCCTGTGTCTAGTTATTTAAGGCAACCAATCTCCACCTTCTAACTAAACTCTATTTATCAAAAATATTACCTAGAGTATTGTCCAAAAGCAATAAATACTAAATTTGAAAACTGTAATAATAATAAGTTCATCAAATTGATTAAATTAATTTCAATATTTTATCAATTCATTTTAGCAGTTATATAATTACAAACTTCTCGGCAAATAAACATTTCTTTTAAATTATATTTATTTTTTTAATTTTTAATGGATCAACCACAATCCCAATCCAATACCATGTTTATGAAAAGATTATCTACAATCAAATGCATTGCTCCTATTTTGATTGCACTTTCAATTGTATCAGCAATCTTTGCCTTTTTAGGCTATTTTAAAAATAACAATTTTGAATTTCTTATTTTAGCAATCTTTGATGTAAATATATTAAACTATTATATTAAGATTATTCTTATTTCCATTTTGATCATAACATTATAATTTGTTTTTACACTTTAATTTGATGAATTTGGAAATCCATAAGAAAATAATACATCATATATAATATAATTTGGATTATAAAGTATAACAGCAATTTTCTTAGGAATAATTATAACTATAATTCAATATAAAACTCATTTAGCTAATTTATGGTTTGTTGGACTTTAAATATTCAAATTGCTTTTTTTAATCTATTTGATCAATAAAACAAAATAATTTAGCAAAACATAAAATGGAATTCATAGATTCACATTAGCATTCTCAGTTTTATTAAACATTTTATTTTTATTGTTTGCAGCAACTAATTTCAAATTCGTAAAATAATAATTTCATATAATAGTTAGTCTATCTTATAAACAATCAAGTATTTTCATTAGATCACAATAACACCATTGTTTTATTCATGTAATATGGTTTATTTGCTTTATTAATGGCTACTATCTTAATTAGTGTTATTCTCATTTTTAGAGTTTAAAACTATTTCTTGATTGTAGCCTTTTTAATAGTAGCAGCTCTACTCATAGCAGCAACTGCTAATGGAATGATGATTAGATAATACTCAATATTATAGAGTGATATATCTACATAAAAAGGATGTAGATATGCACTTTAAAGTCTTGGAGTTTAGACAGTTAAATAATTTTTAAATTGTTCAGAAAAATATCTAAATGAACGATAATCACCTTATCTTCCATGTCCTTAAGAAAATCAATCATATATGTGGGAATCAAATATGGATTAAATAGCATGTATTAATTTAGATTGTTGTGACTCACTCAAAGATTTTATTAGTAAACCTTTGTATCATTTAACTGTTTGGGTTAATATTATAGTAGCAATAGGAATAATTTAAGCATTTAATACAGCTATGCTTTCAAAATTTGATGTTGGCAATAAGGAATAAAATGTTCTCACAGATTTATTCATGTTATTATTATTTTTTGGATTATTCTTTGGAATAATTGCCATATATAATTCCATTTCACCTTAATAATTATAATTATAAGATTAAGTTGTATCGTAAATATTAAAATCATTTATCATATAGGTAGCCTTTGATTTTGAATTAATTAACTGTTCTTGATGCTCCAACATATAAATATTTCAAACCACAGAAATCTTTTGGAACTTAAATGTCTAATACTGATATTTGTGAACTAGCAACAAATTTAATGTTAACAAAAGTGAATTTATAGCCTAAAGATGATATGAAGAAACCTGGGTATAATATAATATTTGTATCATAGAATTTTACTTGGTATATTAGGAATGGGAGGATCATTTCTAATTAATAATGATATAAATTTAAGTGATTTCAAGATATTGACTACTGATGAATTAATAACAAAAGCATTTCCTAAAGCAAATAAACCAGGATAAGATGTTATAATTGTTGAAGGATCTCTGGCATCTGTAAGTCATTTTATAGGATCATGTTTATAATTTTGTTCTGATGAACCTGAAACAGCTGATTTTACTATTTTATAAGAATTTTATGAAATGGAAAATGATAAAAAGAATAGAATTTTAAGTATTGATCCATAATTGTAATAATAATTTAGTAAAATTGTACCTTATTTATAAATAACTGCAAATGTTTAAAATAGTGAAGATTTTTCAACAATTTCTGATGCTGATGGAAAATTATACTATGGAAAGTTTGTTTATACAACATGTTAAGTTATGGATTAAGTAGAATCTCCCTTTTTATCAACAATATCTGATATTAATGGATAACTTAATTATTTTAGAGTAGCTACTAAATAAGTTTATACATTATTAGTCAAAAAATAAGGATATAAAAATGCATGTGCACTTGTTGATTTAACTGAATTATCACCTAAAACTAATATCTTTGTAAGAATGGTGAAAGAAGTTAAAAAGCATTCTATGAAGATTACTTTAGAATGGACATCTAAAAATCTTAATTTGGATTTATATGGTTAATTCAAAGGAGAAAACTTTGTTTGTTTAACTGGATCTATATCTAAATCTTGTGGTGGAATGAGTTTATAAACTTAAAATGAGAGAGATTAACATATTGAGATTTTAACTATCGATTAAATACAACCTTTTACTTATTTAATTTTTATTAAAAGATTTATGGAAAGAACATAAGCATTAGATGATAAAGTAGTAAATGTATAAGATTGGATAGAATCTAATCCTGTTATTACAATATATGTATATGAATTAGATTATCCTCTTGTTCAATATAGATTGCCTTCAAGTAATAATATTTAAATTAACTTTTAGTACCAACATCTTTTAGAGATAAGATTGATTTTACTTGGTTAGCTTTTTAATTTGATGGATCAATTGGTGATGGACCTATTGAACTCAAAACTTATTGGTCTGAAATAACAAATGAAAGTATCAAGAATAGCAAATCCTATAAAAATAAGTTTTGGCCTTCTCCTGTTACAATTGAAAACAAGTGATTTATAACATTTTATTATTATGATAATATTATTATTATGAATATAATACTCATTCAAATAATCATATGTTTCTAAAATTAGGTTTTCTCTTTTCCACAAAAGCAGTGACTCCTTCCTTAGCAGCTTTAGTATTTAAAAGACTATTAAATATTTATCTCTCCACTTTATTGGCTTAACTAATTGGCATCTCTTCAGCATTCTTAATGGCAGCCTTTGCTGCAATAAGTGTGTATAATGATTTCTCACTTATTTTCTTTGCAATATTAATGCATTCTTCCCTTAATTACTCTTTTTTCACTACAGAATTCACTATTCCTCTTTAATAAGCTTCTTAAGCTGAAATACTATCAGAAGTTAAGATGTATTTCATAGCATTTGTCTTTCCAATAAGTTTTGTCAATCTTTATGTTCCTCCTAGTCCTGGGATAAAACCTAATTTTAGCTCTGGCAAACCCAATTTACACTCCTCTGTTGCAACAATTATATCACCATTCAAAGCAAGTTCAAGACCTCCTCCCAAAGCTACTCCGTTGATTCCTACTATTAAAGGCTTTCTTATAGATTCTAACACTTAAAATATATTCTAAAATATGTCTCCTTTCAACTATGATTCCAAACTAATTTTTGAAATATCTTTAATATTGGCTCCAGCACAAAATAGCTTTTCTAATTTGGACAACAAAATTAAAACCTTATTAAAAAAACAATCTTACCTTAATATTGCTATCTTAATCCAATTCTTAAATTGCCAATGCAAGATCTCTTTTCATTGGTTCAGACAAAGAATTTAGATCATTTGGGGAATTTAAGTATATTAAACCAATTTACTCCTATTCTAATCTTTCTACAACAACTTTTTCATAAGAACAGAAATTAGTATGTAATAAGGCAATTCTTTGCATATTATAAATTTAATTAAGTATGGAAATCAATTATTCCAAAATTACGATCTTTAATCATATTATTATAAATGAAGTATTAATAAACATAGAATCAATTTGTATTCTACTTTATATCTTAATCATTATAAAATATTAATATTATTATTATTTAATGTAAACACCACCTCCTCCACCTTATGGCTACACTCCAGGATAATATCCTCCTCCTCCTCCTCCTGCATATGGATAAACTCCCTACCCTCAATAGCCTGGATATTAGCCACCTCCTACTGGCTATCCTTATCCACCTACACCTGGTTATCCCCCTCCTGCTGGTGGATATCCATAACCAGGATATCCCCCTGCTCCTGGCTATCCCCCTGCTCCTGGTTATCCTCCTGCTGGTTATCCCCCTACTGGTTATCCTCCTACTGGCTATCCTCCCTAACCAGGTTATGTTCCCCCTCCTAATTATACTTAACCATACCCACCTTAATAGTAACTTATTTATATTAATATAGATATCCTGGTTAATTTCCAGCAACTGCAATGGTTATTCCATAAGGATAATATAATTATGCTGGAGGAAATATTTAGATAAAAATAAGACCTAATTGCTATTTGTATAATATTTTTTAAACATCAGATGTGGAGGGACTGGTTTTTATATGAAAAAATATAAAAGAAAGCAATGCAAAGATTGTTTATGGGCTATGGGAGTCTGTTTAAAATGTAATGGAACTGGATGGAATAAGAAGGGAAAGGTTTGCAAATGCAAAATGTATAAAATATATTGAATCATTCAAATAAAATATTTGATTCCATCTTTAAAAACTTTGCTTCGATATTTTTTGATGTAAATTCAAATATTTAGAGTCTGTTTCCCATAATTCAACTTTTAGGTTAGCTTCATTTTTTTAAGAGATTATGCTTTAGCAATTTATATGTTGTTAAATGCTTCTATTTAATATAATATGTTTAAAGAAGTGTTTATGGTAAGATCAACAATGTGTTGATATTATTGAGTTTGAACTTGTATTGTATTTAATAATAATTATTTGTTTTGTAATAAATGGCAGATGTTCATTCTTAAAGGAAAAGTGTGTAAAAGGTATGATATCATTCCAAAATAGTAAGCATATATTGATGATCTATTCACAAATGACAATGAACTTGATGAAGATAAGGATTTAATAAAATAATACAACACTGCTAAGAGAGAAAGAAAAACAATTGAAGCACACAAACAATTACTTGATAATAGAGTAGCATTGTTGAAATAAGAGGAAATTAGAACATTAAAAAAGATAGAGGAGACTCGTAAAAAGGCTTTGGAAATTTATTATCTTAAAAAAAAGAATGAAGAAAAACTGAAAAAAGTAAATCTACTTAATTCAATATTTTAGAGAGAAGAAGAAAAAGAACAATTATAGAAGAAATAAGAGCAATAATAATAAATTAGAAAATAGCAAGAGAGAGAACATAAATTATTAATTGAAAAACATAGAAATGATAAAGTATAAAAAGCATTTATTATCAAATAATAAACAAGACATAATGAAGTAAGGAAAATGAGTTCTTAAAAATAATCATTAACAACTCTTAAATAAAAAAATTAGATATTTAGAGAATCAAGAGATTTGAATAGAGTGAAAGAAAGAATTGTAATGGAAAAAAGAGAAGCTATAAGAGAATAATTAGGAAAGAAATTAGAGTTTGAACAAAAGTTAAAGGATGGAAAATAAAAAGGTAATTAAATAGCAATAATTTTTAGAAATTGAACAAATTGAAACATATGAAATGGATTTGTTATAAAAATTACAAAACACTTAATAAATGTAAAAAACTGCATTTGAAGAATTAGAATCAGCTTTAACAATGACAGCTAAAGAATTTGCAGAAAAGTATCTTTAACCAAAATAAAAAGAGTAATAAACAAATAATTATATTTAGAGATTAAAATAAAGATTTATCAAATTTTAATACTGATGAGGAAGGAATTTAAAAAAATTAAGATCGACCACATATTGATGAATCTGATAAAGATTAATCTTCTAAAATATCTATTGAATAAATCAATGAAATAAATGAACCGAATATATAAAATGATTCTAATAAGGATGATAATGGAGATTAAAATGATAACTTAAATTAAGGAATCAAAGAACCTGAAAATAAATAAGATGAATAGAATAATTAATAGTCAATACATGATGAGGAAAATAATTAAAATTAATAAAACAATTAAAATGAGATTCCAAATGTATTAGATTCACCAAAAAGTTAAGAAAAAGAAGATAATGAATAATAAGAAGAGGAATAATGATTAGGTTATATTTTAATAATTATATAACGATTATCACTTTTTGTCACAATATTTTTCATGTTTTAAATTCTTAATTATATTTCTTAATTTAATAATCTGATGGATATTCATATTTATTAAGTTAAGTATATATCATTATAATAAAATTTATGATTCTTTAATTCATAATTTATAATAAGCTTGTAGATTAAATAAATGTAAGTATTAATTCACTGAACTACCATTACTATTATATATCAGTATTTATTTCACAAAAGCATCAGAAAACTTTATCTTTATAATAGTGGTTGCAAGGTTATTTTAATAAATTAATTGTTCAATTTCTCCAGGACCTTTAATATATACCTTTAAATCAAATGTTCGTAAAGATAAATCCCTATCATAAACCCAAAGTATTATTCTATTGATTTCATAGGTTTAGAGTAAATCAATTATCATATATTTACCAATTTCTTAAATAGTATATCCTCTTCCTCCATCTACATAATATACTTCTGATCTAAATGGATTCTTATTAAATTAATCTCCTGCAAAGTAAATTTAATCTTTATTTGAGATAAATGCTCCTTATTTTTCTTATAAAATATTTTTATATTGTCCTCTAATTCTATAACGAAATTGTTATATTTTTAATTGCCTACACGAATATGACTAACTATACTATAATGTAGGTATAGTAAGAAAAATATGTAAGATCAATAAAGATAAAGCAATTTTCATTGAAATTTACAATTAAGAATAATATAAAATAGAAACAACTCAATAAAATTTTAAAATTAAAAAAATTACGTAATCATATGATTCTATTAATATTTAATTTATACGATTTTACTGAGCATGATAATTTCGGTTAGATAATATAATATATATATAGTTTATTTCAATCTCCTATTACTCTTTCTTTGTACAAATTTTATATATATTTGAGAGCCTTATTTAATTTGAAATAAGATTCTGAATTTGTTAAATTCTTTGAATATAAATAATTCTATAAATCTTTATCCTAAATTATTTCTAAAATTTAGTATTTTAATATATATAACTAAATCCTAATGAATTTACTATGATTTAGTTTGTATCTTTATATATTTTAATAGCTTATTTATCTTGTTAAGAAATAAAATGTTATAATATTCAAAATTATTTTCGAATAAAGAATGAAATTGATTTATCTCTCTCTTTATCTTATTTTTCAAAATGTAGAAACAATGAATTCTGTTGCAAAATACAATATCACACAATTAGATCAATTAAAATAGAAATCCATAATCAGAGGTGAATACAAAGATGTTGCTCAAGAGTCAGCAGGAGCTATTATTTCTAATGCCAGAAGTGTTGGATTTGTTGGAGGCTTAAAAAATAGTAGCCCATTAAGAAATGCAATTTATTATATGATATCTGGTGGTTATTGCTATGTTGGATTATCTTAATTCATTATAATAGACTTACTCTAGACGTACGAGATCAATACAATAAAAATTTGGTTATATGATAGAGACCCTACATTTATAAGAACTTATGATATATAGATATTTGCATCAGGATTAGGAATAAATGATTAATTGATTTATGAAAGTAACAACTCCAAGAGTGTTACAATCATAAAGTTTTCAGATACATTGATAAAATAAATAAAGATTAAGAATAGAAATGGAAGTTCATTAGATTAGTGGTTAGTCATTTTAAAAATATAAGCATTTTATGCTTTTTGAAGGAGATTACGTAATAAATTTAGAACATTATTTGTATCAATTTAATTATGAAACTTAATTATAATAAAATAATATAATCTAATCTAAATTGAATTAATCATTTAGATTTTATTTAGATATTTAGTAAAGAATCAAAGTCTTGAAAAATATTGATTAATAATTTTATTGGTTAAATTAATCTTTTTTAACAACATAAGCTTTATTTATATAATTTAGCAATGTTTATATACAATTTCATAAATTATCTATAGTTTAAAAAAACAAACAAAATATATTTATATTAATATAATCATTCATTCATGATTAAGTATGTATTAAGCAAATTAATGCTAATATTATTTTTTGATTATTATTACAATAACAACCTTATTAGACAATGCATTAATATATTTATATTGTACAACAGAAATTAATCATTCCTTTTTCTCTTCTGCTCTAATTTTACCTTTTCCATTTGTTAATCTAACATTAAGTTCAGCTGCTCTTCTAACAAGAGTAGCTCTTTTTCTAGCTGAAAGATTGTGTGCTAATTCACCTGCAAAAGTTCTATTATTTGTTAGCAATAATTCAAGATCTTTTTCATTGGTAATTAACAATTTTCTGAAACCAGTTTAATCTAAGTATCTAAAAAGTCATTTGATTTCACAATACCTTGTCTTTTTATCACCTCTATAACCAGCTTTTGGCATAGGTCTATTTCCTCTAAATCTTCTTCTGACTCTGTTATCAATACCTCTTGGTCTTCTCCAGCTTGGTCTTAATTTGTGAGGATAGTCTTCTGATTCAAATCTAACAAATCTCTTTGTTCTCTTATGAACAATTCTTTTATGAGCAAGTGACTTGACAACCATATTTTAATTAAAAATAAAAGATTTTAATTCAAAAATTCTTCAGCATTTTCAAGTATATATTTCATAATAATATATTGTTTTTTATAGTTCCATTGATAAATATACTTTAAGAAAAATCATTTCTTTAAAGTCTTGACATTTATTGATAAATTTTGACATTTTAATCACATCAATGTAATTTAGAATTAATGAAAATATATTATAACATAATTATGTTTTAAATCTTGAATGAATATTATATATTATGAATAATAATTCAAATTTAAATATCAGATTATTCCTTGGTTTCCCTCCAAAAATTTAAAATATTAATCAGCATGAAGATTATAACTTTGATTAGGATAGGATTTAGTAAGAAGATAAAAAACATATATAAATGTCCACTGTTTAAACAGTGGTTATAATCATAAAATTAAATTGAAATCATACTCTTTCATAGTGTTATACTTTGTGAACTGTAAATTTTTGATCTTCTAAGTCCTTTTTTCTTAATTATTTTCTTTTTTATTTTTGGAGTGTTACTTACATCATTTGCAGTCAATTGATTAATTTTAGCACTAATCCTGCTGATTATCTAATACTATTTGATTTAAATACATTTTTTGTATTTTCAGATAAGTTTGATGTATCTTTTGAGTAAAAATTTCTAATTGCCTCATACAATTCATATTTTTGAAAGTACAGAAATTCAGAATCAAGAGTTACAAACAAAACCAAGTCAATTTAGACGGCTTCACCATCATAGTAATCAGTTATAGTAGTCATATTTGCATCGTACTCAATAAGAGATAGAAGACTCATTTCCATATCTGTTATTTCTTTAGAACTATATTTAGATTGACATTAATTAACACAGTCTTGAATATTCATCTGAATTTTGTTTTGACATTCATTGAACTAAAGAAATATATATATATTCTTACTTTTACTGCAATCATTATTGAAACTATTCCTATCAGATCTACTGTATCAGAATCGATAAGTTATTTTGAAAGATATAATTTACTTAGAATGGCAGCTAATTCAATTGTTTTAATTTCCAAATTATTTTACTCGCCAACCTAATATTAAACCAAATAACAAACCTAAAAGATCCAATGTATGAGCATTTCCATCACCTAAAGCATTTGATCAGGTATAATTTATGCCAATTTTATATCTCTCTTCTGAAGATAGTTATAGCGATCCAAATCCATGAATTTTTATAAAATATTATAATTTGAAAAATTAAACCAAAAAGAAAATCTTGTAGTGTAAATTATTGGTTTATTTTGTAGCCATTCAAGAGATTATAACTTTTCATAAGAATTCTCTAAAAAATACTATTTAATGTCTATAGAATATAAGAATTAGAATAGTTTTTCATACATTAAATAAGATAAAGAAAATGTATTAATGTTATAATTTATTTTATTAAAGTAAGTATTTTATATTATTTTTCAAAAAGATTAAATCTAATTATAATAAACAAGCATTTTATTCTAAGGGATTACTATTGTTACAGAAAAACTTTAATTTAACTTTACCATTTGTCACTTAATTATCTTTTTATAATTCCTTACAATAGAATAATATTATGAATATTTTGTTTTTTATTTAAAAATTATTATTTCAATCAAAATGCATAGAATGCCTAAATCTTAATGACTTATAAGGGTTAAGTACCTGAAATGTCAACAATTAAAATTGATTTCACTAAACTATCATCAAATGTGATTCTATAAATTCCACCTACTGCTGCATTATTAGAGTAAACATCTTATGAAGTGTCATCTGGGTAAATTAAGGTTACTTTAAACTTATAAGTAATTACTGAAAGATCATAAAACCATATAACAACAGTATTTAATTCATATTCTTACAATAAGTCAAGTTAAATTTTTCCTGATACTGGAGCTAAAACGTAACCTTTACTACCAGGAGCAATATCATAGATTGCATCTCTTAACGGACTATTGTTAAATTGATCTCCATAAAATGTTAGCTATCTAGCATTTGAAATTAATGCTCCACTTCTTTCATTAACAACATCTTAGTAGTCTCCTCTAATTTGTGCTTTTTCCATCAATATCATCAAATCTTAATCTGAATATGTAGTAGCTGTGTAAGTTAGACCTATTATTAGAGAGATAATCAGAATTGTTTTTTGCATTATTAATTATTAAATATAATATCTAAAATTCATGCATAAAACCTTTTGAATATAAATTTCATTGTTCCAAATCAAACTCAAGTAATATAAATAAATTTGATAATTACTCTTGCATACACTGCTAATTAATATCTGGAATCAAATTTTCATAAGTAGGTCCATATTATTGAGATATTTCATCAAAACTAAATTTTTCTCTCAATCCTCTAAAAATTTGATATACTCTTAAGAATTAATCAGTTCCGAAGGCTTGTTCTAAATTCATTCTTATTTTTTCAGCTCTTTCAAAACTTAATTTGATAATGGGTTTCTATGCAATTTATGTATCTTATGGAACACATTTAATATTGTCTTATTTTTTGGAGTTCTATTTTTCTAACTTTTAATTTGGTATATCTTGAATTTATGTATTTTCAGAAAATTATTTCTCTAATTTTAATTCATTATTATTATTGTTTATATCTATTTCTATAGATTAACTCTGTTAAGGTTATTATTATTATTATTATTATTATTATTATTATTATTATTATTATTATTATTATTATTATTATTATTATTATTAATCTAAAAACTCAGATCTTGATATATAAGGTAAATATATCTCTACTGGAATATCTCTTCTTTTTGGTAATTTTTTATCTATTTAGCTTTGTTACTATTATATCTAATCTTATTTTATTTTAGGTTAACCAAATAGTTCTATCACTACTTCTTATGGTTTTTGTTGACATTTCTAAATAAAAAAAAATAGAATTACTTTTTTTTAAATATCTTCTCTCATGAATTTTTATTATTCTTCTCTAGATATTTTTTTATTTTATGTGTATTCATCATTTTTAATAACAACTTAATGTTATTGCTTCTCTAATTTTACAATTATCTTTACTTTGCATAGGTTAAACAGGTATTTTTATGATTTATTATTACTTAATATTTAATTATTTAATTCTATTTTAAATTAATGCATTTTCTAAATTATGATTAAATGATACATAAAATTTATTCTATATTTGGTCTCTTATTTGCATCTAATTACAAAAGTTATTGTATTAAATTTTTCATATTTTGTGAATATTACTAAGCACTTATTGGTTATATTTTTGCTTTCATAATCTTATTAGCTAGTGCTGGTAATGAATCAGCAGTAAATGGATATTTAAATGTACACATTTCATAGAGAAGTACTCCCAAAGACCATATATCACTTTTGTATGAATAGGGTTAATTTTATATTATTTCTGGAGAAATATAATAAGGTGTGCCTATAAATGTAGTTGCCAAATCCTATTCAACTGATCTAGCAATTCCAAAATCTCCCAATTTAATTTTTTCATCATGCAAAAATACATTTTCAGATTTGATATCTCTATGAATTATCTTTTAAGAATGTACACATTGCAAAGCTAAACATAATTGTGTAAACCAATCAACTATCTATGCCTCAGGCAAAGGCTATGTTCTTGATTTTAAATATTATCCTAGAGTACCATCTAAAAGATTACAATTAAAATATATTACTATTTGCATATTCCATAATTAAACATAATCGATCTTTATTATCTATAAAGGTTTCTACATATTAAATAATATTGTCGTGTCTAAGATTTTATAATATAGATGCTTCTGTATTTGCTGAAATTGATTAAGGTACTACTTTCATAACATATTTAACTTCATCTTAATCATCAGATGAAACAAGATAAGCCTTACCATATGCTCCAACTCCTAACAATTTAACCTTTTTATATTATTTAATTTAAGTTTCATTAACTTAACAATCATTAGTTATGCATGATTCATCATCATTTATTATTCTGCTGTCGTCTTCCATTTTATAATATTAAATTTATAATGTAAATTTATCATTGCTAATTAACTATATATAAATATCATTAATTTCAAATTCATTGCTATTTCTCATAATTTTTAAAAGTTAAAAATGCTGATAAGCTAAATAGCAATTCAAACACTATAAATATCAAAGCAATCACGTTTATTATTATTTCCAAAATAACTACATAAGTTTACAAAACAATAAAAAAGATGTAAAAGAATATGCAAGGAAAAATTAGTAAAACAAACCTTTAATAGACATCATATTCAATACCATAAAATTTATGATGGAGATTCTGTTTTATTGCCAATTGATCCTAATATTAATCGAGGAAATTAACAAAATCCTAATAGAAATTGTAAAAATATTTCTATTCCTATTTTATTTGGAGGATAAAATAATCCATAACCTTTGTAGATAAAGACAATTATTTCAATTATGAAATATATGTACTAAATATGACTATAATGTGAATACTGTAAAAATATAATCAAAATAAAGGAAAGTCTACAATGGAATAGATGCCAAAGGTCTTTTTTCATCATTAATATTAGATGCTTCTTTCATTTGCAAATTTTTAAATTAAAAATAATATGCATATATTATAAATAAAAATAATATAAGATAAAAATGATATAATAAAATTAAGCTTTCTAATTTAAAGAATTCTATAATAGAAATACAAAATAGCTTAATTGATATAAAATATTTAATTTCCTCTATTTGAATTAAATAGATAGTAAAATAAAAAATTTGGATTATAAAATCATTATAAAAATAATTTTGCTTGATTTTTGTAAAGTTGTAATTTTAAAATCTTCTCTGGATCATCTTCTTGGAAATAAACAATTGCTTTTTCTACCCAAAAATCTTTTTTCTTGTTGTTTGGTTATAAATTCATCATAAAATGTAACTTGAATTATTTATAAAATTACTTTTTTTGCATTTTTAACAAGAGCCTTAATAACTGGCATTTCAGTGAGATCTTAAGCAGTTTTACCTGCAACAGTCTTAATAGAAGGGTTAGCCTAATAGACTAATAATACTCTAACAGTATCACAATTATTATTTTTTGCTGCTATATGTAAAGGAGTTCTTCCCACTAGAAATATTTAATAATATTACTCATATCTCTTGCATCTAGATCAGCTCCATTTTCAACTAATAATTTCATAGCTTCAATAGAATTAATGTTAACAGCATGATGTAATGCAGTCTTTTATTAATTATCTCTATCATAAACGTGAAATCTACAATCACGTAACATTCCTTCAATCTCTCGAATATTATCTGCTTTAACTTGTCTGAAGAATTCTACACTATTTGGTCTTTCGTATGCTTAACTTGGAAAAACTTAATTATTCACTACATCATCAAGTGTAATATTAAATCTTTTTAATTTTTCCATGAAATTTCTTAAAGCTTTCATAACTCTCAATTTTAAATCAGCCTTAGCTTCTTCATCCAGTTATGTGACTTTTTCACTTTACAATCTAGCAGATGATTATGATTTCATTGTTTTTAAAGTTCTTAAAGTAGATTAAGGTTATTATTGTTAAGATTGCAATGCCTTTTTATTTTTTCTTACATGACTCATTGTATATTTAACCTCCCTTAAATCTTCACGAAATTTCTTTACATTTGATATCATACCATTTACTAGTTTTTATTCCTCTTTTAGTAATAATTCAGTCTATTCTTTCATTCTACCATCTATTTTATCCTAGATTATTCTATATGATTATAATAAGTTTACTTGAAAAATTAATCCATCTAAGATTTTGGAATAAAAACATCAAAATCTTAATTTTCTTCAGATTTTTATCTTTATTAAGATACTTAATCTATCAACATTTCATGTTTTTAACCATAATTTCTTTTAAATACTATATTTTTTTCTTAATTAGGTTTTCTATATTTGGAAAATCGTATTTGATCAATAAATTTATTTTATAGATTCTCAAACTCTCCTTCATCATCAGATGCATATAAAGCTTTTGACATTTCTTTTGCAGATTATTATAAAGCTTAAGCAGATTTTTCCATCTAAATTATAGACTCATAACTATTCTTCTCTAAATTCCCATTTAAAAAATTAGCAACAATCTTACCAGTAGCACTATGTTATTATTACATTATTCCTGATAAAAAGTGGGTTTATTCTAATAATTTTTCTTTTGATTCCTCATTTTTAATACAATGAGGCTAACTTAAGTTATTGTTATTGATGTTTCTCAAATTATTAAGTTTATTTACTCGTTTTAAAGGTGGTTTATTAGGGGCCATTTAAACAGTTTCTAGTTTATTTTTATATGTTGTCTAATTATAGTTGTTTTTTAATCCAATCATTTTATCTGGATCAGGAGATAATGAATAATATTTTGGGGATGATGTTGGTGAACAATTGTAACTGATAACATTGGTAGAGTTTATTGGACTAACTTATGATTTTTATAACAAAGTGGAAGTTTTCGATATATTTGGATAGCTTGTTGTTAGTGTGCTTTTTACAATGTAGATGCAGTAGCATTTCGAAATTTCTTTTATTTAGACGCAACTTCCATTTCTGATCTCAATCTTGCTTACTCTCGTGCCAACATATGTCCTAATTTTATCATTTTATTATTTATTAATAAATTTTAGTCCTTTCCAATCTTTAATCAGTAAAAATCATTATAAAAGGGATCGATTTGAGTGCTTTAATTATAAAATTATATATTTTGTTCAATTATTTCACCTAAAAAATTCAGAAAATACATTTTATGTTATCTTTTGTTATCAAAAAGACTTTATATCATTTCAAATATTCATATCCTTATTAGATAACAATGATAATATTTATAATTATTCATCAATACTTTTATAATTTATAAATACTAATTATAAAAATTTGAAATTATTATTTGAAGCTTTAAGAAATTGTTTATTGTTATTTATTAAATAATGTTATAATAAAATGATATAATTATTATAATTCAAACTAAATTAATTATTTCACATATTCATAAAAATAATTATAAGAATTGCAAATAAAATGATTCCACAAACTACAAATAATACTAATTTATTATTTCTAATTCTATTTTACATTGTTTTTATCAATACATATGAGTTACCTAATGCATCTCTAATTGCTAAAATTTTTATATATATCTACGTTATTATTTTTCAATATTACTAGATAACTTATCTGTATGCCTACGTAAATTAATTTAAATTTCATTGGCTTCCTTTTCTACTCCATAAATAACCATTTTAGCATCTTACAATTTCATATTTTAATCATATATTTGTTCTTATTCTTTAAGAAGTTTTTGTCTTTATTAATCTTTACCAAATAATAATTCTTTGGATGTTTAAATTTCATACTTAGATTTCATTTAAGTATAAATTTTATTTATTTCATCCAATTTTCTTTTTTGCAAAATAAATTACTATTTTAAATTATCCTTAATATTCTTCTCGAAACCTTGTAATTCCACTTCCATTTATTTTAACTTTGCTAATCAAAATATTTACATTTTCATTTGCTGAATCAATACAACTTTATGCTTCCTTTAATGCAAAAATTTTATCTTCTTGAATATCAATAGTAGTTAGAATTTGTTATAGCTTTTTACAGATAGCTGTAACTTCTTCATCACAATTTACAAATAACTCTGATGAGGATTCAGATAACTATGACATAATTAATTTTATATTAATTATTTATAAAATTTTTGATCTAAAATGATTCTTGATACTCTGGTATAATCATAAACTTTAAAATAAAGTTTAAATAACAATTAGATTATTCATTAAAATCTTATTTTTAATAATTTGAATTTCAAAGCCAATGTGACTTTAATAAGCCAAATTATTTAGTCTGAGTAATTAAATACTCAAAAGTGTTAGGATTAAAATTAAAAATTAGATTGTTGCTATAATAGTTATCCGATGATTTTAAAATAAATAAATTTATTGAATTATAATAAATTTAAGATATGACCAAAGCATAAGTTTTAATTTTAATATATTGTTTAATATGACTCTATTCATGTTTCTTATCTAAAATTAAAAGAATTATAGCCAAAAGAATTTTAGTATTCCAAAAATATCCCTAATTCGATTTGGCAATAGATAATCAATACATCCTATGAATAAAGAAGAATGGCAATAGCATTTCTATTAATTTTTTCTCATTTTCAACACAAAAACTAATTTGATTTAAGTTTACATAAACATAAATATACTTGATATTGTAATAGAGTAATTTTTAATAGTTATTTCTAAAAAAAAAATTCAAATTTAGAAATTAAATACATAGATGAACCTGAGGTTTGTCTTATAGGATGCTAATCTTTGATTCAAAGAAAATCAAATCAAACTTGAGAAGATTAAACAAATTTAAGGAGACTCGTTAAATTTTTTAATATTCATTATTTTTTAAGATTTATTTTAGAGAAAAAAGAAACTACAAAAATATTTAACAAAAATTATCATTAATCTTTATATAGCTCATATAAAACAACTAAAGTTTCTTCTTATAATATTGGAATCAATCTTTTGTATAATTCTTAGTGAGATAATTTAATAATATCCCGCTATTCCTAATAATGACTTTGGTATATGTATTTCTCACAAAGGAGATTTGTTAAATTAACCAAGACACTTAAGTCATTTTCACATCTAATCTTAATAATTTCCTTTCTTTCATAAAACAATTCTAATCCTTTTTAATTAGAAAAATTATTTCTTTCTTTTTCTTCAACTTAAAAAGTAAAACTATTTAAAAAGCAATTCAAAATCAATTCTTTTTCATCTTTCATTTAAATCATAATAATAACATCAAAATAATCTTCTAAATCGAATCCATCAAATTAACAGAGATACTATGTTATTAGCTCTTATTGATTTTCATACTAACTTGGCCAAAATATTTTTGCTCTATTAAACTTTTTTTAATTCAGAAAGCTTAACTTATAAATTTCATCAGATATTGTTCTAACATACCATTCTAAAGTTGAGTTTAATATACTGAAAGGTAGACTTAAATCAGGATGATTAGCATTCTTTATCAATGTAGCAACTTCATTTGCATCTAAAAATTGATTATGTTAATTTGCAGCTGAAGATAAAACCTCATGGTGCTTTTTGATTTTTTAATTCATATCAATCAATTTTATATTTAATTATACAATTATATTTCTATAATACTTAAAACATATTTATTTCTAATTAATTTGTTAATCATAAATTTTTCAAAGATAATCTAAATATAGATTTCATTTGGATGAAATAATCAACAATTCTTTATTCATAATAATATTTTTCAGAAATCTTCATTATTTTGCATATATCAATGGTTTATCAATGCCCAGAATTTACTTACTACTTATAATATTTTTCATTTATCTAATTTCTAGTATAAAAATATATTTGTTTCATTTATATGTAATCTATTATAAAAATACAAGAATTTTTTATAAAAATAAGGATTTCCATAAGTAATTATATAATAAACTCATTCTATATTTTCAAATTCGATAATATGCCTCTGCCTTAACTACATTTGTTGTCCCTGAAGCTGAGTTTCCGTTTCTATTATAAATTCTAAATTGTTTAACAATCTAAACAGGAAATTAAATGTGAATGATTGATTATGCAGAAACTGAATCAAAAATAGTTGTTTCCTTTTCTGAAAATATAGCATACACTATAAGATTGTAATATCGTGCTTGTGCATCCCATAGCCATAATTTAAGATTATTCAATTCATAATTTTATCTCAGTTCTATAAGTATAGAATAGCTTATGCCACAGAAAGTACCTTTTAAATCAGCTGAATTTGCATATATTTCGTTTCTAAAAAGCATTCCTATAAATCTTCCTGACCCATTAAATGAGTTTTATTTTCTACTTACTAATAAAGAGCCATTCTCATAACTTATAATATTTTTATAATTGCCTCTCAGGATTGATTTTATCTAATTTGTTCTTTAGCAACCATTAAAATGACTGCATGATTAAGATTGTTGTAATGTTATCAAAATTAAAAAGAAACATAATTTATACATTACAAAACATCTAAATAAATCTATCAATAAAAAATGGAAATTTAGAAAGATAAATCAATATTGAATACAACTATTGATGGTGAATATCAACATAATTAGATCAATTAAATACTTTTTTAACATTTTTTTGGTATCAAATTACGTCATAATCACTCAATATTTATGCTAAATAATCTGAGATAATTATAAATTACAAATTTTAAAGAATTTAGAGCCTCTATTCATTTATTAAAAATTTCTCAGAAGATTGAAAATTTCATTTGATTTTTTCAAAATTGCTTCTTTAAACTAATAGAATTCCATTATCAAACTTGGCTCTCTCAACAAAATAGTTATTATTTGCAAGGGACATGAGTAAGTTCGATTTTGGTTGATTTTAATCTAAATTTATAATATTTGTATATAGATTTGATATAATGATAATATTAATATACTTATTGATCTTCATTTTAATTACCCAAAGAATTAAATCTTTATTTATAGATGTAAATTACTAAGGCAGTATAATTGTACTATTTAAGCTTGAAATAATATAATAAATAGCTGTCTAAATTTTGTTATCAATAGATTTGTTTTTTAATTGAATAAACGATCAACTAGACATTTTCTAAGTCATGTTAGATAGTTAACCTTTGAGAATATTGATCTAATTAGTAAAAAGATTGAGTATAATAATAATGATATAAGGGTTATTTAAAATAGTATGATATTAAATATTTATTTTTATGTCAAATTCATAAGGTGTGAGCTTATTAGAAAATTTAAGAAAAGTTATCACATTAGTGGATCAATTAAGAGATATTGGTTTAAATGATTATATCAAATTACCAAGAATTGTTGTTTTAGGTATTCAATCTGCAGGAAAGTCTTCTTTACTAGAGCATATAGTTGGAATAGATTTTCTCCCAAGAGGATCTGTAATTTCTTGTGTTATTGAATTTAGGGTGTTGTGACAAGAAGACCATTAGAATTGCGTTTATCTAATGCTCCAGCAAGTATATGTCCTACACCAACTGCAGAGTTTGTTGAAGAAATTAAAGGCAAAAAGTTCACAAATTTTGAAGAAGTTCGAAAATAAATAAATGAGTTGACTGATAAGGTATGTGGATAGGCTAAAAACATTATTGACAAGCCTATAATATTAGCAGTCTAAGGACCTAATTGTCCTGATTTAACTTTAGTAGGTATCGAAAAATCTTAAATTTTTAAATTAGATCTTCCAGGAATTACTCGTATACCAATAGCAGGTTAGCCATCAAATATTGAAGAAATAACAACCAATATGGCTAAAAGATATTGTGAAGATAAATCAGCAATTATATTATGTGTTGTTGCTGCAAATGCTGATATGACTACATCTGATGCATTGTTGTTAGCTAAAAAATTAGATCCCGATGGTACTATTTATACTTAATTTTCAAAGGTGTTCGAACAATAGGAGTCTTGACTAAAATTGATATTATGGATTAAGGAACAAATGCATTCAAAATGCTTAAAGGAGAAGAAGTACCATTAAAATATGGTTATGTTGGTGTCAAATTAAGATCTTAATAAGAAATTAATGATAATATTCCAATTATTTAAGCAGTACTTAGAGAAAAAAACTTTTTTGCAAATCATCCTGTGTATTCAACTATTCCAGGAGAAATCTTTGGAACTTAAGTTCTAACTAGAAAATTAACTACAATTCTTTATAGAAGGATTAGAAGTTTTCTTCCAGAATTAATGAAAGAGATAAATAATAGAGTTGCTAAAATTTAAGTACGATTAGATGTCTTAGGCCCAGGTTTGCCAATTGAAGACTCAGTATATCTAAATAAAATTATTTTAGGATAAAATGCATTATATATGGAAATTAATTCATGAATTCTCTGTTAGATTTAGAAATTCAATTACAGGATCTTATCAAAAGATTAAATCAGCAAAGAAAAATGATTTTTTCCAAGTTCCAGCTGGAGCCAAAATAAAATTATTATTCTAAGAATTATATGATGAGTTTAATGACCTTGAATACCAAGCTTTAAAGAAATATTCTGAAGATGATATTACACAAGTTATTTAAAAATATTCAGCATTAACTATTCCTGGATTTCTTCCTGTTGATGCATTTTATGCATTATTAAATCCAGAATTAAAAAGATTGTAATAACCAGCTTTTAATATTATTGATGAAGCTTATTCAATTCTTGAAGAATATGCAATAGCAATCTTGGATGATTAATTACAAACGTAATCTACATTTTTTTATTTAGAATTCCATCTGTTCTTAAAATGTTAGAGGAATAAGTTCTTGAAATTATTTAAGAATGTAAATAGCATGCTTAAAATTCTGTATAGGATATATTGGAAGCTGAAATGAATTATGTTTTCACTAATGATTTCAATTATTTGGCTGGTAAATAGTTTATTAGATTTGGTAAACCTGCCAAAGAGGCCTAACCTGTTAAAGGATAGTATATGGTTGCTGAATTGAAAAATAAAATTGAACATTATTTTAAATTAGTTGTTAGGTCAACAAGAGATAACATTCCTAAATTAGTTGGTTATTTCTTAGTGAAAGGGTGTTAAGTAATCATCAATAATTTATTATTAGACTAAAATGCTTATGTAATTACAATAAAATTTAATGTAAAACCAATATTTGCTCCAAGCGATAAGTGAAGATTAGAATATAGTAGAGGAGAGAAAAAAATTAAATAAGGAAATAGAGACTTTTAGAAATGCCTAAAAAATCATTAAAAGAGACCCTGAGTATCTTATAAAAATAATTTTAGTCTTTCGGAATATATATTATAAGCTTAAGAAGATCAAGCTGCTGAATAATAATAATTATAACAATAACAACAACTCTAATAAACTAAACCTTAATAATAATAATAATAGTAATAAAAATAATAAGATCCAAAAGCTTAAGTAAATACATAAAACAAAGCTCCAGCTACTCAAACATCTAATGATACCTCGAAAAATTTAATGACTGATGCACAATTATAAAAATAACAATAATAATAATAATAATAATAATAATAATAATAATAATAATAATAATAATAATAATAATAATAATAATAATAATAATAATAATAATAATAAAATCAATAATAGACTTAATAACAAAAACAACAATAAAACTTATTTGGAAATGTTTAAAAACCTCCCTAACAATAAGTCCCATAATAAAATGCTAATCCTTTATAAGGAAACAAACCCTCTTCCTCTTAAACATTAACTCAATAATACAATTAATAAGTTGATAAATCTGTTGCATAATTTTATGAAGATGAAAGAGTAAAAGAATAAATGAAAAATGCTGGAGGATAAGCAGCCAAAGCAGCTTTAAAAAGCTAGATTCCAGGTGCTCCAGATTGGGCTTTGAATACTGCAGAAAAAGTAGGATAATAAGCTGCTACAAGTGATGCTGCAAAATAGGCTGCGATTGTATAAATTTTACTTATTTTAGAATGCCACTTCAAATTAATTAAAAGTTGATGATTAGCCATAATAATCAAATTAATAATAAGCTGCATAACCAAAAAAAGGAGGATTATTTGGATTTATAAATAAGTCATGATAGAAGTTTATTAAGAATTATGTTTAAATTCTATTAAAACAAATTTTTAATCCTTTCTTTCAGCTTTCTCTCCATTTCTTTAATTATTTTTTAATTTCGGATGAAGATTTTTGTTATTAAAATAAATCATATAAAAATTGGTTTTTCTGGGATTTGTAATTATCAAATCAATAATCATTAAATATAATTATTTATATAATTCATATATATTGAACATCTATAGCCTTACTTAATCTTTGGTAATCACCTGTTAATGTGACTTCAAATTCTTAATTTCCTGATATTCTTTTGTTATGCATTTCAATTTCATGCACTTTTGATATAAATCTATGATCAAATTAAAAATAAATACCCAAATTTCTTTGGTTTTATTAATCTAAAATCATGTTAGAATGCTTTCCAATTATCTGTTAATACTTAGCCAAGCGTTCCAACTTTATTTTCATCTTCTGTAATAAAATCAATGTAAGTAAAAGCAAAAATACTTGCAAGAGTCATGCAAAGCATTTCTACACAAACTAAAGTATTCTGAATAAATAATGTTAATATTTATACTTCTATGGCACTTATGATTGTAGCATTGCTATATTTGGCTTCATCTGGTTCAAAACAACTTGAAATTTCTTCTTCAAAAATTGAAAGAGTTAACGATTACCAGAAGGTAAAAAATAACGTTATCTTTATAATCAAAAATTTGAGCAATGGTCTAAAGAATTAATATAAATGTTTACTTGTATGGCTATAAAGGATGTTTTAGGGCATAATAAAATAAAATTAAGTAATAGAGTGAGAATGTTTCACTCGTAATTATTATAAATTCAAAACTTGACATTAATCTTTGCTTTGAATATTATATTTAAAGTTACTGCATATAATTTATGATGAAATGGATGTAAAACTATGATTAAAATAGTAAGAACAGGTTTCACTACACAATATTAAAGAACAAATTTTTTGCATCTATAAGTGAAATATTTTGCTTTAGCCTTTCTAATAAATAAAATTAATATTATACGTCGTTAATAAATATCTTTCAGTACAATAACTTACAGGCCATAAATGATGTATTTCTTTTTCATGTTCAATCATTATTTCATAAACACGGTCATCATATAATTGTTTATCTTCTGGATTATATGCCATGTATGAGAACATAAGGTAGAAAAATGTAAATAATAGAAAAGCCAAATAAATATCACGAACCAATTCGAAATAGGATGCTAAACCCTGTTTACTACTATATTTGAATTTAATCTTACATGAAATTCCATAGACATTATTGAAATTAATCCATAGAAAGGTGCCATCATGAGTATAACTAATAGGGTAAAGAATATTTTGATACTTATGATTTTACTTTGAAAAAAGGGCATATTGAAATTCATTAAGTGTCTAATAATTAAATAAAGTGATATCATTAAAGAGATCACAACACATCCAATAGACAGCAATAACCCATCAGACAGAAGGGTTTCAATACAATCTTCATCGCATTTATAAGGGCAAATCATTAAAATTAAAAATAATTATAAATATACTTTTCTAATTTTAGAATAACCGATCTCACTTCTTAATCCATATCACTTATATATGAGAAGTCTCCTTGAATAAAATGATACAAAAATATATAAAAGAAATACTTAAATATATTATTTTTTAAGATTACTTATTCTCTAAGTATTTCATAAATTAGTAAGTCTAAATTATCTCTTATTATTAAAGAAAAATGATGTTGACATAATCTTAAATAGCAATTCATAGATATAAAATTGATATTTTATTCAATCATGTAATATAAATCTGTCTTTATTTGGTTATTAGTTTTAATCACCTTCAAATAGTTTTGAAGCTACTTAAACAATTTCTAAAATAGTTTAATAAAAATTATTTACTTTTAGTAGATAAATTGGGTTGTAACTTTTATTAATCATCAGTGAATAATAAGTGAAGTTTCTATTTTCTAAATGGAGAATCAGGGGCATTTTACATAATATTGGTTCTATTTGTTAAAGCTGATGAAGTCTTAATAGGATAAGTGTCTAATCTTCCAGGAGATGAGACAAAAGAATGAGAATAATTATGCATCATTTTCTATTAACTTTAACTATAGAAGTTCAATTTCTCATTCAATTATTAATTCAGATTTCTTAATTAATTGTAATCATATATGATTTTATGATTCTGTTATTTTTGTATCTCTAATTCTTTCATTAAAGTTTATACTTATTATTGCAAAAGTTATTAAGTCTAATTATTAGCAAAATTATTTGAAGCTATTGCTGTTTAAATTTACTTTGTATTCTATTGAAGTTCCTCATATTATTATTCTTAAACCTTAATTTAATGTTCTTTTTATTTTAACATAGATGAAAGATCTTAAATTATTTTTTATTGTTCTTCATCATTCTTTTATTATACTTTTGATCTATGTTGACAATTATTTTATTGGCATTTTTCAACTTATTATTTAAGCTAATTGACTTAATTTTATAAGGTTTTTCTCTCAAAATCAGATGAATGAGATTTCTATTTGGAATTATGTTATCTCATATCTGTTATATCTTGATCATAACTTTCTTATAATTTATTATATGCTTCATTTCGTTAATTTAATAATTTTGTTATACTCTCCAACTAAACCAATCTTTCTTCAAGCAATTTATTTAATTTATTGTTTTATTCTTTAAGTTAACTGATTTATATTTCATTCATTTTTTAGTGAGATGATAGATGTTCTTGTGTATCCTGATTACTAAGTGTTATTACTTTTTAGTTATATTCAAATTATTTTTATTATTGATATTATTCTTATAATTATATTTCTAAGTCATTAACTACTTAAACTGTTTCTTCTAAACGTTATTTTAATTATTCATAATCATATTAAGATCTTTACAAATTTTCAACATATTTACTCTATTCATCTAACTAATGTTATAACTTAGTTATTGTTCTTCTTAAACATTCATTATCAACTATAAGTTTTTCCTTCTATATTTTCAATTTATTCATTTCATCATTTGATGATTCAAATTCTATTTTTTTACTTCTTTAACTCTTAATACTTTAGATTCCACTTGAAGCTAATGATTCATATTCTTATCTTAAATGTTCCAATTATTATATTAGTTTATCATTTTGTTAAAGTAACTTTTAATTTTCTGTTACTAAATTACTAACTTATGACTCATTAAGTGGTTTTTCTCTTCCTTTTGGATTACAAGAAAAGCTTGATCTACTTTAAAGTGGTTATTTTCGCATTATAATTATATCAGTTAAATAATAAATTTTGATAATATCTAAAATAATTAACTTACTAATTTATTGAATTATGTTCAAGACATTCAATAATATAGATATTAGAATGAATTATAAAAAAATATACTTAAGTTTAAGTCAGATGATAAAAAATGAAAATGAATAGAATAATTTATCAATATTTTTATAAAAGAATAATTAAAAGAGAGCAATGAAAATATTCATAAGTATGGAATTAATTCATAATAAAATAAAATATAATATTAAAATCTAATAAATATATATCATAAAATATATTCTTCTTGTTATATTAAATATTTTTATAAATTATAATATCACAATCTTTCTTTTAAATTGAAATATCAAAATGAACTCATTCAAAATTGAATATAAGGGATTAAAATAATAATAATAGTCTATTTATTAAAATGAACTTTGATAATGTTTATTAAATTTGTTTTTTACAAAATTAAATCTTAAATTAACATTGTGTTATTTATAATCATAATTATTATTTTTAAAATAATTAAAGGAGAAGTTTAATAGATGAGATTTTTAAAGATTGACTTTTTTATTAATTATTTAATTCTTTATATAATATGTATGCTATTAAGTTATTGTATAAAATTAAGAAATATTATTCAATATTTATTTATATTTAAAGTTATATAATCATAAAGTTCTTATATCATAAAAAGAATTATACTTAGATTATTAAATAATAAATTTAATAATTTTGCAAAGCCTTCAAATGATGATTAGAAATTACAGGAGATGAAATTAACACTAATTATATTAAACAAAATCTTTAAAATGAGAACAATATACTTAAAGTAATAATAAATTATTTTGGTTTTTTTAATAAAAATAATGTCTTTGAATTCTTATGAATAATAATTGGATTTAGACGATTCCTGTGAATCTCCTTTCTCATAATCACCAAAATCCAAAAGAATAAAGAAGTTTGAATTGATTTCCCCTAAAAAAAATGTTGGTCATTGGACAAAGGAAGAACATGAAAAATATTTATACTTCTTAGAGGAACATTCTGACATAAAGAAAAATAATAAAATATTTAAATCAATGAGTGAGGTTATTGGAACTCGATCACCAAGTCAATGCAGGTATTTTCATTATTAATATTAGATCACATCATTAAAAGTTTAACCCCTTATCACCATTAGTACAGAGAAAGACTCAAAAAGTGTAAAAACAAACTATGTCAACTTTATAAGATGATTTGAACTTGTAAATAGAGGAAGAATCTCTCAATCGAAATATGGTCAAACTTATGATTTTCGATGAAGATGATTAAGTCTGCTAACTTCCATAATTTAATTTGGATGATTTCTTTTGAATTTATTTCATGCAAAAAACAAGTATCAAGTTGTTTAAAAATAGCTTGCAATATTATATAATATATAATTTATACATAAAATTTAATCAAAGAAATGCTAATATTTACTCATCACTTTAATCAAAAATTTATAATGATTATCTAAATTTCATTGTAATTGACATAATTAACATCAAAAAAAGAAACATTATTATAAATGACAAATAATTGAATTTATTAGATATCAGCAATTCTAAATTATAATTAACAACTTTTCAATTACAATTAATAAAGATAACAATATTATAGAATTTACTTTATTTGATAGTTTTAACTGTTTCGATTGGAATTGGATTTATAATTTAATAATTCCTCTATTTTTAATTAATAGAGATTCACTTTTTTTTATAATATTTGGATCCTAATTCGATACATTAAATATTTAATAAAAAATTATTAATTCTAATAAATTTACTATTCATTTATTATAATTATATCAATATACGTGTCAAAGTAATAGTGATTTTATGAAATTTATTAAGTTTTGTAATTTATTTAGAGGAAATTATTAATTTGATATTTATTGGTATTTTTAAAATGGTGTTAAAAGAACTTGGATAATCAATAAAAGAAGTTCTTAATAAATTAAATTAACCTTAAGAAATTAATGAAAATTTTGTTAATTAGATTCTAAAAGAAATATCTCTTGCATTATTAAAGGCTGATGTCAATGTTAAATTAATATAAAAGTTGAGAGAAAATATTAAATTGATGTTCAAACTTTATGAAACAGAATTTATAAATCTATAAAAACTTATTTAAAAATCCATAATTGAGGAATTGAATAAATTACTAAAAAATGATATTTCATCATTTGCACCAAAAAAAGGTATATTATATAACTGAATTATAGGAAAAACTAATATTATAATGTTTATAGGTATAAAGGGATCTGGTAAAACTAGTACTTGCTCTAAATATGCCTATTATTATTAAAAAAGAGGATGGAAGGTTGGGATAGTTAGTGCTGATACTTATTCAAAAATGTGTTTAGATCAGATACAATATAATGCTAAAAAAATTAGAGTTCCATTTTATGGGTATTTTCAAATGAAATATCAAGTTCTTATACTGAAACAGATCCAGTTAAAGTTGTATATGATGGTGTAGAGATTTTCAAAAAAGAGGGAATTGAAATTATACTTATAGACACTCCAGGAAGGCATTAATAATAAAATGATTTATTTGAAGAAATGAAATAAATAGATATTATGATATAAACAGACAATGTTATTTTTGTAATGGATTCTTAATTAGGATAATCTTGTTGTGATTAAGCATTAGCTTTTAAAAGTATTTTTAATTTAGGATCAATAATAATAACAAAATTGGACGGTCATGCTAAAGGTGGAGGAGCAATTTCTTCTATTGTATCAACACATACTCCTATCGATTTTGTATGCGATGGAGAATCTTTTGAGGATTTTTAAGAATTTTAATCCTCATCATTTATTATTAAATTATTAGGATTAGAAGATTTGAAGGGATTAATAAAAAATCTAAATAGCTTTATTTTAATTGGACCTAAAGAAAAATAATTCACATTAAGAGATTTAGAATCAGAATTAAAACATATTATAAAATTTGGATCAATTAATTTCCTTACTAATATATTTGTTTCTAAAGTAACAGAATAAGAATAAATTCAGAATATTAAAAGAAATCTTTATATAATGAATTCCATGACATCATAAGAATTAGATGGAGAGGGTATATCAATATATATATTGTAGTTACTTTATCAAATTCTAGAATTAAACGAATAGCAAAAGGTTCAGGGACTACAATTGAATAAGTAAATTATTTAATAAAAATGCATAAAGTTTTCGTAAAAGTTTAACACCCTCCACCTAAAGACAATTTTAGGGAATTAAGTATAAATAAAATATTGAATTTTAGTGAGCAATGGATTTTCATAATAATTAATAGAAGATATCTAAAAAGATCCAAAATTACTTCAAAAATTGGATGGATATAAATATATACAGGATATGATGAAATAAATTGGAAATATTTAAAATAATAAATGATATCCAATGTGAAACAGAATAGTTGTTATCTCATTATTATTATACAATCAAACTAACACATATCCTTGTTCTTACTTTTTCTTTCTCTTCATTAAGAATAAACCTGCAGCTATGAAAACAATAGAAAACAAATAATAATAGAAGTAACTCTCTTATTTTCTGCATGCCATAGGATGGGTTGTCTAAAGCATGATGTTGCATGGAGAATCTGTCATAATTTATTTAAATGGAGCTTCTTCTCCACATTAAATTTAAAATTAAACAGAATATTATAAGGTTTCTCCACATAAATCACCTATCATCATTCAATACTCCTTACCATTTTTATATTTTAGATTTAAACCAAAACTATCATACCATATATCTGATTCAGATTTTAAGCCTATTGTGTAACATTTATTATGAAATAATTAAAACGCAGCAACCCTTAATACTCAACCTTCTTTACCTCTCTGTGATTGCATTAAACACCATATGTACAAAAATTAAATTCGAATGACATTGCCCCACTAAATGAAGTTACTTTATAATTGTCTTTCCTTTTTAGATGATTGATATCAAAATGAAACCCATCTGGGTCTGTCCATTTGCAGTTATCAGGAATTAGTCCTTAAACTAATGCAATCAAATAAAAAATTATCATTAATTATGGAAAATCAAAGTAATTATATTATAAGTCGAAATGACACTATTACATAATTTCCTTATTTGCAAGATAAAAGTTCAAAATTCTTAAAAAAATTAAACTATAATAAAATAAAAAAGTATGAAACATGAAGGGAGTGATGTTAAATGAAAAACAATCTAGGATTGAGTAATCAAATCATCTATTAGATTTGAATACAATATGTATTCGTTTTCTTGAATGAAGAGTTATTTCATTAATTAATGACTAAATTTAAGGGAGTTTTGGATTATAAAATTGACTTTATATGGACTCTAAAATAGATCAACATTATTGAAAACTGATTATAAGAAAAATCTCGTTTTATTTATAAGATTATAGATTTAAAAAAATTTTTGATAAATAGTTATAATTTTGATGAAGGATTAGTAAAACAAATAACATAATCAAATTTCCATTTCAATAAGGAGATTAATTGGATATTATGCTATCTATTTCTTCACATTCATATTATTTTGACTTTTTAAATACTTTTCTTTCTAATTTTGTATATGAAATTGCTTATAAACTTGAAATACTTTAATTTGTGCTTGCAAAACTTAATTGAGTCTTTCTTCTTTCAAGAAGTGAATTTACTTTTAATGAAAGTTAAGATGATTTGATAGTTGAATCTGGTGTATTATCTGAAAAATCCCTTTCAATTTCTAGAGTTGTATAGGCTCTTCTTTTGTTGTTATTTCTTAAGTTAGAATAGTAACGATCTTATTTGGCTTTTGGATCTGTTTTCATTTTAATATTCATTGAGCTTAAATAGTCAACTATGGACAACTCAATTTATAGACTTTTTTTTTTAAATTCATTCACTTCCTGACATTCTCTAATACTTAATTCAATTGATCTTCCTGAATGCCCTCCATAAAAATCATCCTCATCATTCATCTATATGCTTGATTAAGATATTCTAGAAAGATTAAGTCCTCTAATATTAACTGGCTATTACTATTATTCAACTTCCATATAAATATTTTATTAATGTTTTGATGCTTTTAATGATATCACAAAATATCTATCATAACTAAAGTAACTTAATATTAAAGATAAGATATGACTTTTCTAAAATTAAATGAAAATCATTGAAAAATTACGAGAATTATGGTTTAATTAATTTTGCCAACAAACTTATACTATTCTCATTATTGTTTTAACGAATTCAAATATTTATTTTGATTTAAAACTATGAGTGATATAATTATTCAGTGAAATCAAATATTTATTGACATGTTTAATTTTAATCACTACTCTCAAAGAATAAAGTATAACCAAATTTATCGCGTTTCATACTATTATTACTAAATAATTTAAATTTTTAGCTTCCTTCTCAAAACAAAGAATTAATTTATATTTAAAGACTTGGTATAATTACTTAACATCAAATACAATTAATGAAATAATTTAAGTAATTGTAATTCAAACAAATAACTAAATCAAACTTTCAAATTGACTGAACCTTATTAAAATTCTTTTACTAATTGAGCCAATAATAAAACGAAACTTAATCATCCTGTTAATTCAAGTTAATAATAAAAGTTATAGAATAGAAAGTTGATAAAATGATAAATTACAATTAAATGAATTAACTTATAATTAAATTTGAAACAATTCTAAATTTTAAGAACTCAGAATTCTTTTGCTTCTCTAGGCTTTTAATGTTAGAAAATTAAATGATTCATCTAAAACCAAAATTGAATAATAATATAAAAATTTGATTAAAATTGGAACTAGTTATTATTGAAAATCAATCAACTATTTCAAAAGATATTGAATTTTATAATTCCAATAGAATCATTTATTATTAAGATATCTATATCTATATTATAAAAAAAGAATGAATGAGATAAGTTTATTTAATAATTAAATGGGATTTAACTTTATCAAAAAATTTACTTATACTTTTATTATGAATTAACATAATCACTATTAATAAATTGCGAATAGACATTAATATAAATTATTGTTCTCTCCTATTTTTAAATATTTCTCTCAAATTTAAACTTTTTTATTATTAATTGATTTCTAAATACCATTGAGGTTTTTTGGATTAGGGGTATATATTGAAAAATCGTTTTATTTATGATTACATAATTTATTTGAATTAATTAATAAAAGAAAGTAACAATCAAAAATGTTATTTTTCCACTACTTTAATAATTACATTAATTATTTACTTATTTGAAATGAAGAAGATAATAAAATACTTTAAGGATTTTTAGTCCTAAACAGAGTTTGAGATTGTATTTAGATATTCAATAATAGGTATTAAGAAGAATTTTAGAGAGTTCTAAATTACACTTAGTAAATGAACTAAAATACTAAGTTTTATAAGAAGGCTTTAATGGGTAAATAGAGGAATTACATGTTCAATTATCATTTAAGATTTTATATAAACATTTTAAATCATGCAGAAATGATATTGCTTCCCTCAAGATATTAATAATTATTCACAGACTTTTATTATCATGTAGAGATTTTGGTGACCATGTTGATTTAGATTAGGTTTTGATCTATTACAGACAACCAATTAAATAACTTCCTATTCTACAATAATTATATTAGAATTTAATTTTTTAATATCGAGACTATCTTAAGGGGATTACAGAAAGAAACCAATATTTTTTGTTATGTTCATGCAAAATTAATGACTTTTATTAAATGGATTTCAAAAATTAATTAGCTTCATAAATTGTTATTGTTTTTATATTGAAGAAACTAAAATTGGTAAAATATTCCTCTTAATTTAGTTTATACCATATCTAGAGAATATTTTAGTAAAAAAATCTAATAGTTTAATATAAAATCTTATAATTTTGATACTAAATGATGCTAAGAATATGTATGAATTTATAGCTTAATTTGTTTTATAAAATCAATGTTTTAAATTATTACTAAATTAGATCGTATCTTGGATTAGTCTCCAGATAATACTACAAATATGCTAATGTACTAATTGTATGTGGATTTAATTTAAGTGAATTATTGGATAATTAAGTTATTTTAATTAGGAAATTTAGCAGAAATTAGTGATAAACTAGAATTTCCATAAATTTTTGAAATTAACAGTGCACAAAATAAAGAATATGAATTATACATTTAGTTAATTAGAAATAATTATGAGATGGGTTCCCCAGATTATTCACCTAAATTTTAAGATTTGAATTAATTCAAAGTAAATTAATAATATATTAAATATAGAAATAAGAAGAGTTTTAAATAGTTCTTCTAAAACCTCAATAATTGAATACAGTATTAGGATAATCAGAAAGACCATTAGAGTATATTGAATCAAATATGTGAGAGTTTGATAATTTAATTATCTATAAAGAATAAAATGTTTCTTATATAATTTAAGTTTAGTTTAAATTAAAAAATTTAAGAAAATTTGAAAGATCTTCAGATTAAATATGTTAATACATATAATTTTTCTTCAATTACCTATAAAATTTTATTGTTGTAATAATATATTTATTAATTTATTCTTTAAAGGCTAAACATAATTAAATTTAGCTAATTAATAAGTAATGCTATTTCAAATTGATAAAAATTAATCAATTAATAATACCCATATGAAATATATTAGTTATTAATTAAAAGACTACTATAAGTGATAACATTTCAATCTAAACTCTCAAAAATAAATTCAATTAAATTACATACAATTTAAGATCAAAATAAAAAGTCATATTTAGATTTCTTTTATTATCTTTTTGGGAATAAATTTTTAAATTTCTACATTTCTCCTAATGATTTTCTAAAACTCTCTAAATCATCTTAGAGTTCATCTAACAGAATTAAATTATTAGTGTTTTTTTATAATAAATGTTCTCGATTTCTAGGAATAGGAGATGGAGAAATCAAAGAAAATTAATTTATTCCCTTTTTTTTTCGTTTTAAGTTTATCTATCTTGATGGAGTGAATTCTGGGATTCTAGAAGATGAAATTGGTTTTTCAGAATCTGAATATTATTGAATTAGCTTTTTCATCTGTTCAGAAGATGTAATATATTAAACTTTTACTAAATCTTAATATTAGGTGAACAGCTTCCTATATAAAATAATAAATAACTTTAATGGACTTGATGGTGTAGCAATACAATTTCTTATTAATGTTTCTTCTTTTATTGGTGATTTTGTAATCTAGGTTTTTTCTTCATTTTATTTAATCTCTTTATGATTCTTATCTGAATTAGGAGTAATGAATTATGGTTTATCAACATAACTTTCTAGTTTAAATGGATGACGTAATGTTTTTATTGCTCTCTCTATTTATTACTCATAAACAGTTTTTTGTCTGCTTTGCCGATTCCATTTGTTCATTTAATATTCAACTAAATTTGAATTTTCCCCAATAAAGTATTTTACTTGGAAAGCAGGATCGATTTTTTGGAAATTATATTGAATTTTTTCTAATATCTGTTATTTTCTAAGGCTGATAGTTCGGGATCTGTCAGACATTATAAAAAGTAATTAAATAATAACAAATTAGTTGTTCAGTTTGAGAAATATATAGAGTATAAATAATATTTTGTTAATATTTGAAATCATTAAATAAAATTGAATTCATCTACTTTGAAGAAACTAGAAAATAACAAATTTTGTATATTTACTATATTCCAAAAAAAACATAATCAATTTTACATCTATATAGATTATTAAAATAACTAAAATTCAACAACATATATATATACATATATATAATATTAGATTATTAAACAGTTATTTTTAATTCTTAATAATTTACTTTACAAATTCAAGAAGAATTATATTTCTAAATTTTACAATCTAGTACTAATTAAATGAATATATACTTCATTTAGATTGATGTAAATTTACCATAATTTATTTCAAAAATCCCTCTAACTCACTATTTATATCAAATATTTTAACTTATCTTAATTAATAATTCATTTTTAGAAATGCCAATATCTAAATCATAAAAAAGCAATTCAATTTACTAAACTGGTTTGAAAAAAATAACATAGAAGTTAAGAATGAGTACAATTCTATTAATATACACATTTATCATCCTTGGATTTAGTTTAGCAATACTTATTATATGTTAAAACATTCAATTATCGTTGGCTACTGATTAAGTCCAATTGATTTCAGAATAAATATTATCATTACAAAACAAAAAGTATTATGAATTCACAAATCTAGAGCTCTCTCAATTTAATCGAAAGATGCTATGTATGTGTTGAAGTTTGCATTTTATATGATAACATCTAAAATGTCTAAATTAGTATTCTTGAACTATTGGATGAATACTGTAGATCTTAAAATTGTCTAAGAACTCTAGCACTGCAATATAATGCAACAATTAAATCAATAAATATAAATTTCAAGTAATTGTTATACAATTTTTGGTAATTTCAGCCTTCAAGATGCTTAAATAAAGCCTTTTGAAAATATGGTGAATCTTTTGCATACTCATTAATACACCTTTGATTTCTACATTGTTTCTTAATAAATATATTTAATATCTATTGTAGACAATTTATTTACTGTTTATTATCCGACAAAACCATAGAATGAAACTTTAGAGGCCTTTCAATAATAGTGGTTCACAAATTACACTTAAGAACTCTAAACTACAAAACAATTTATTCCATATAAAATCAGTAAACTGTTTTAAATGACTAACTATAATTACTTATTGGCTACATATTCAAATATACTCTTTAATCCAAAACTATAAATTACAGGAATAGCATCATTATTAATCAATTTTCCTAAATTACAAGATTTTTTGTATATGGATAAATTAAGTTTGATGATTCTAGATGAAGATGGAACCCTTGTTTATTCAAAAAGCTTTATAGATCATCAAATGGAAAATAAAACTGATTATATATATAATGAAACTTTAACAGGATTTAATATCACTGATTGGGAGGAGATAAAATTATCTATAAACCAAACTATATATCCAATTTACAAGTACAATAGTTTATTAAAATAAAATGTATATATAAAAGCATCTTAATTACCTTAAACAGAACTTATAGCATTAACGTATTTATTGTAAATAATATTAGTTTATCAAATAATACTTATGAATAAGAGATTGCTTCAGTATTAAATGGTTAAATTTAAAAAGTAGTTTCTTGGTTCACAAATATGAGTCTATATGCTATTTTGGTAGATGTTATTATTGTATTACTTACAATTTTACCACTTAGACTATTATTTCGATCAACAAACTTAGTATTAGATATGATGATAAAGTATTTAAATGGAAAATTTGATTATAAAATGAAGGATGAAGTATTCAATCATTAATTCCTTTAATCCAACGATAATTCATTATCTAAATTATATGAAACTTATTAGAAAATTGACAAAACTTTGAATAATTCCTAATTCGAAAAATCAGAGCAATGCAAGATTATAGAAGCATTTCGCTTTTTAAAAAATGAAAAAATAAAGCTGATTTACTAAAAAGATGCATTATATGATTAGGAAGACTTTATTCCTTCATAACTTTTCCACTCCTTAATTAAAGTTCATTAAGAAGATATATGAAAATATAAATAACTTAAAAATGATTTAATTTTTATTACATTTAAATTTTGTCTTATTCTTATCATATATCTTCTAAATAATTAAGAATAATAATAATTGAAGCATTTAGAATATGGAAATATTATGAAACAATTAAAATCAGATTTAATTATAATATTATGAAAGATGGATATTTTAAATAAATAAACAAATAAAGTCAAGGTAACTTTGCTTAAAAGTTAAATAGAATAAAATCAAGGAGTTTAGATCATCATCTCTAGACAGGCATAAAATCTCACGAATGATTAATCCATTTCATATTTTATTCTATCATCAAGAACTTAATTGTAATCCATCATAAATCTTAATTTATAAAATAATCTGTTTAAATTACATTTACTTGAGTCTTAAAATTTATGTAGTAAAAATAAAATAATTGAAAGTTTATTATCTTCTGCTAAAATAAGTTCACGATATTTATTTTATTAATCTTAAGGTCTAGACTATAAATAAATATCAACAATATCATCAGACAATTTTTAAATCAACAGAAATATTCTATATGGCTTAACTTCTTCAAACATTTGTTTCAAAATTATAAATAATTCTTTATAAGGTAGATTTTCTTTTTCAATTTATTCAATTGCATTCATAATTTTATTTTACATCTCAATAATTGACATCCTTGAGCTATTTCTGAAATACTATTCTTATCTTAGTTTTCCAAAATCATGAGCAAAAATATCCTCTTCAAATTCTTTAATCATTGTTTATTATCCAGGTTCAGGATATAAGGATATATCTAAAGTTTATTATCTTTCCAGTATTTGACCTTCATATTATATCTATTAATTTTAATATTTTAAAGGAATTATCTTTTCAATTAGTTATCCAATACATAATTCTTTATCATATATATAATGTTAAACTAGCTTTTAGAAAAACAAACTATTTTAAAGATATTTTTAAATATCATTTAGAGAAATGTATTCTTTAATTATATCTGAATATGTCAAGTAAATTGTCTATTTTAAAAATTCAAACAGGTTAATTATACTAATAATTAGGTAATCGATCAAACATTTATCTTCCTTAATCAAAGCACTTAATTTTCTCTTAGAAAAAAAACAATCTTCAAATTCGATAGTTTAATGTTTTTCTTAAATTTCTAAAGGTAATTGTGTTTTAATAAAACTCTTAGTATCAGACATATGATGCAAATTAGGAGATATTGTTATATCGTCTAATTTATCTTTTTTTGATAACACTAATTATTTGTAGAATCTGTCGAATTCCTTGAGAATTAAATAAAAAAGTGACTTTTCTTTTAACTCATTGATATCATCCATCAAACTTTTTAACAATTAAGAGTCTACGTCACCATCATCTTTATGAATCTACTGAGTAATATCTGTTATATTTGCAAAAGATAAAACATAACCAGATTACAAAAAGTCTTTACCAGGTTTTGGAAATTCATACTTTTAAATTACTTTAAGAAGTTTATCCTTTTAATCAATTTAAAAATTACTTTAAAAAAATCAAGGAAACATTCCAGCATTTCAGTTTTTTCAGATTCATTTTCCAGTTCCTAAGCTCCTTTTAGCACAATCATTTTAAGCTTTTTTTTAATTTCCATAGCTCTTTTTATTCTTAAAGGGAGACATTCCTTCTTTCGAACTTCATCCTAGCTATAACATACTGAGTTTCCCATAATTAAACTCTCTGACGTAAATAATAAATTATTATTTAATTAAGAAAAGAGATCTTTACTCTTAAAAATAATAGTCATAATATAATATGCTCTTAATTGAAGTATAGAGCTGCATAATTATCAACTAAATTATCATCAAATTGCATATTATATAACATGATTTTATGATTAATATTTTAATTTATCAAATCAGAAATCGATGTGAAATATTGATAAATTAATAGAAATTTAATTTTTAATTTAAACACTTGAGTATAGAATCTTAGATAATAATCAAAAAAGAATTTATTTATTATTTTTATCATTTTCTTTTTAGATTATATTAAAGTGTACTAAAATTCATATTTATTATTGGTTATCTCTATAAAAAATGATGATAAGATAATTCTTAAATTTTTAACATTATTTAATTTATGCTTAAGTATTTCGATGAAAAAAATATTAATATAATTAAATAAATAAACATTGAAAAGAAATGAATCAATAAGATCAACTTGTAAAAATTACCTTGATAAAAGTGCCCGATGGATATTAAGTTGAAGAAAAAATATATACAAAAATAAAAATTCCAAAAACATTTCTTGATCAATAAAAAATTACTCAACCAAAACCTGCTTAAAAATAAGTTGTTACTAAACCACCTCCATAAATCAAATAAACATTACCTCCTCCAATTCAACCTGTTAATATCCATCCACCTATGCCTCCCTAAAATAATTTAGTTCAATCATAAATGGAAAATATTCCCTCTAAACTGATTTGGAATTCTTCCCCAACACCTTAAAACCCTCATTAAGTTAAGCAAATACCACCCTAAACTTAATGGTTTGCTTAGCCTCAACTCCCCTAAATTCATTAACCTCCACCTCAAATATAATAGCCCCCTTAACCATAAATACCTATACCAATATAATAGCCATAAGAATAATAAAAACAAGAAATTAGAAGACAATTATCTAAACATTCACTGATAATTCCTTCCTGTGCTAATTGGTTTTAAATGGAGAGTATCAATGAAATTGAAAAGGAACATTTCCCTGAATTTTTTTCAAATTAACATGTTTCCAAAACACCTGAGCTTTATAAAAAATAGAGAAATTTTATTGTCAACCTATATAGAAGTTAGCCAAGCACATATTTAACAACAATTGCATGTAGAAAAGTCTTAGCAGGTGATGCATGCACAATATCAAGAATACATGGATTTTTATAATATTGGGGTTTAATAAATTATTCTGTTGATCCAGATACATGTCCAAATAAAGTATTACCTCAATAAGCATTGACAAAGGGTCTATATAGAACCTTATAATTAAATGCAAAAGATGAGCTTGATGAAAAAAGTGACTTAAATTAATATGAGATAACCTTGATTAATGCCATCAAAATATTTTCTAAAAGATATAGGTATAAAAAATATTAAAATTAGACCTGGTTGTTCTTTTTGTGGAATATTATGTGGGCTATAATGGTATTCTGAAAAAGAGTAGACTCAAAAAGAGAAGTAAGATTAAGATAAAGTAGAGAATGTTAAAGAAGTTGAAAATAAATAGAAAAATTCAATAAAATTAGATTTATGTATGAAGTGCTTCTCTAATAATAATTTTCCTAACAGTTTGACATCAGAAGATTTCTAACTAACTAATCTTGAGTAAAAGTTTTAATAATTGCATATCTTATCTGATTAACCTAGATCTATTTTAAATGATTAAGAAGTGAGCTACCTAATTTCTATTATTCAAGAAACTTCTGATTCAAATTGGGAAAAATTAGCATAACAATTAAATTAAACCTTTTCAACTTCTCATACTGAAGAGGAATTGATTCTACACTTTCTTTAATATCCTATTGATCATTTAATAGAAATTGATAAAGTGATAGATTCAAAAGAATGCTTAGAGAAATTATCAATTAATGATATATCAAGTAGAATAGCTTTTGAAGAAGTATCTTTATTTTTAATTTTAGCCCAATGTTTTTAGTGATTAAAAAAATCTTGTTAGCTTTCATTTATCAATTTTCAAAAAATTATTAAATAATTTAAATAAGAAAGATTCAGAATAATTTCTAAAATTAGATGAAGTGAAATCAAATAGCAACAATGAAGATATTATTGAAGAAGAAAAAAGAGTGATTTAAATGAATTAAGAAACTTTAGAAAGGGCAAAATCTTTATAAAAAAGAGAAGAAGAGAAATTGAATAATCATATTAATCTTTTAATAAGTTTGTAGATGGAAAAACTAGAACATAAACTCACCTTTTTAGAAGAATACGAAAAACTAATACTATATGAAAAGCAATAATTAGAAATTTGTTAAGTAATCTAAAAATCATATTTCTAGAAATAAACGTTGGCAGAAAGACTGGTAATAGTATAATAGAAACTGTAATATTACTCGGATAATAATTAATGATAATTTGAGCTATTCATTGCACATATAATTATAAAATTTGTTTCATTTATTATTTTTAATTATATACATTTAACTATATTTTTATTAAATGGAAAATTATTAAGATGAACAGAAAGGGGCAGGATAAATTTAGTAACTTTAATTTAATTATGAAATTTTATTAAAGGATGCAAATTCTAACTCAAACTCTTCTATTGATGAGCTCTAAAAAAAATCATCTATTGAAAAATCAACAAGAAACTCAATAGTTACAATTGATTATTAGAATCATGTAAATCAATTATTAAAATAATATGAAATATTGAACTAATTTTAATTGAACAATAAGGTTGATGGAAAAAATGTTAATATAAATTTTTAAAATTTTTGGGTTATCGAATAAATTATTGTAGATCCTCAAATAGCAGAATACTCTTTAAAAATTGGCTTAGCAACTCTATTACTATTAAAAAGCAATTTGAAAGGTTCTCTTTACTGTCTTTCAAAAATCATTTCTTTTCGAAATGCAAAAATTACTTAATAGCTTTTAGACCTTGATTGGTCACTATTATATTTAGATGAGTTGACAGAAGAAAATTTAGAATTTTTAATTTAAAACTCAGATTTAAAATGCATGTAATAATTATTATTCTCTAAAAATAAGATTGATTTGATTTTGAATATTAAATCAGATTATAGCAATAAAATACTTAAAAAAATATTTACTTGTTTAGATTCTTATTGCTTCAACTACAATTATGCAGAAATTCTTTATCAAAAGAAAGTTATTGATAAAATTTTAAAATATTTATCTGTTGCCAATTAAGAATGCTTTTAATTAATTGGTTCATTATGTTTATCTTAAAATGCTCAAAATGAAATTTTAGAAACCGATATTTAAAAAAAATTATATTAAAATCTCAAAAGTAAAAACTCCTAGATTGTTGCTAACTCTTATTATGCATTATCTGGAATCTGTTTTAATTAATCGTATTTGTAGCTTAAATTTGTTAATTCAGATTTGCCAAAGTTCATGAAATCTCACTTATCTTAAGCATCTGAAGTTTGTATTATAGATTCGTTGTCTTAATTAATTTCAAATTTAACTTATAATAATGATCAGGTTAAACAAATTCTTGGTGATTTTATCCCAATTTTAATTGAAATAGTCTTAAATTTTCTTTAATATCTCAAAGATAAAAAATAATAAAAAGAGTAATATTTTAAAGGGATAAAGTCACTCTTAAGAGCACTTTGTAATCTTATTTTTATAAAAACTAATGCAATATTGGCCTGCGAACATAATTTAGCAGGACTCTGTTCCTTACTTTATTCAAATGAATTGATTATTACAGAATATCTTGATTTATTAATAAATCTTGGTATTCATTAATTGATGAATTAATAATTGCTAATATCTCTTGATAATCTAATACAAACATAGTAATATCAAGAGCATTTGATAAAAATAATAGATAGTATAATTAGCTCAGCAAAACAATTTAGCAAGTTTATATGCTAAGAATTTAACTTAGTAGCATACAAAAATATTTTAATATAACAGACTGAAAATCATTAAATCATTTAAAAAATATATAAATTAGTTAGCATTTTGTTGAGTGAAAAATAAAACTTTATTTATTTATAGGAATGTGGACTAATTGATGAGATTAAACCATTTTAGCATATTAATATTTAGTATTATTATGAAAAAATTTAGAACTAATTACAAGAAATAACACATATGTCAAGAATCTTTGGAAATCTAGATGAAAAATCTGAATAATTATTTGACATAAAAGTTGTTAAAGGTAATAATAAGTTAAATAATGCTATCTTATAAATCAAAAAGGATTAAATTTCTATCTCATAAAATGGAATTACTAAATCTAAGTATATAATTTAAAAACTCAAAGACATTTTAGATTTAGAGATTGAATAAAAGGAATTTAAAAATATTCTCTAAATTAAAAATATTCTAAGATATTATTGTTTAGGTTTAATTGGCTATTAAAAATCATAAATAAATAAAATTATAATATAAGCTTAGAACTAGTAATAAAAATAAAAAATCTTTCAGCTACTTTAACAATTTATATCTGATTAAGTTAAATAATGAAATTTACTATTTTTATTTTATCAATATGAAAAACTTGATTTTTTTATAAACTTAAAATTTTTTTCAATGAATATTTAATGTCAAAAATTATATAATAAACAATTTTAACCTTAATTTATATAGATTATTTAATCACAATATAACAAAAACCCTCAAAATAATCAATTAGATTCAACGATAATTCTCTTTATTAAATCCTTGCAATTATGTTCTGTGCCTATTTAATAAAATACAGCTAATGCCTGAAAAATAAATAATACATACATCGAAAAACTTTTATATCCCATTCAGTGTCTTAATAGAACTCTTTTCTAAAACATCATCTAGGATACTTTACACATCCAGATTAAACTTAGAGATCTCACGAATCTGTTTAGGCTTTCTTCCTATACTTAAAATTAGATATTCATTAATTAAATCTCCAAATTAATTTGTTCTATTTTATGTGTTGTTATCCAATATAGCAATTAATTGTTTTTCTTAATATATTAATCCTTAAACAATTCTTGTTATTTCATCAATATCAAACCTGTTTAATTAATTTATAGTTTTTAAGCATCTTGCATATTATGAGTAAAGCCAGCGATCATGAATTCCTAAATAATATAAAAATACTCCTTTAAAAGGGTGTTTATTTTCTTCATACCATCCAGATATACTTTCATTTGTAAGATCAATCATATCTTAGGCCTTTTAAATTTAGTTTAAAAATTAAAATGATTCATATTGTATTAAATATAGAATTGAGATATGAGGATGAACTAAGTATGAGATTGTTTATTGAATATTTTAATAACCATTTATTGCTTTTTAGGTACTAGATAATATCCAATTATTAATCAATTTTTTATTAACTTTATTTTTTGAATTTAATAATACATTTAACTGAAAATCTAAGAAGATTAAATTTTGATGAATTAAACCTGCATCTGATTCTGTATATAATTTTAAGGAACTATGAGCATTATATTTCATTTCTTCATCTTTTATTTTTTTCCGAATTTATGCTATTTAATTTGATTCATCTACTAATAAATTTTCTATCAATTTATTATCTTTTTCCTTTAACAGAAAATTAAAATACATAGCATAAATCATTTATAAATATGGTTGATGAGTCTTATGAATTTAGCTTAATTATAAAGAGAAGAGTATATTAACTTTAGGAACATTTTTACCTAAATTTATTAATATTCTTAAATGATTTAGTATAGCTTCATTGATGAAATCTTTATTAAATAAATGTATGTAATCAGAATCTACTATTTCATCTATTAGATATTCATATTCGATTATTTTTAAATCTTTAAAAAGTATATGAACTGGATATTCTTATATCTATATAATAAAATAAATCTTACTAATTTACGATTTATTATTGATAGTATTGTCTATTCTTATTTCAAGTAAGTCACAACATATTTCAGAACTTTTTCTGAATATTTCAAGGCATTTTCATAATCGATTAAATTAAGATGATATTTGCACTATAAAAGAGCTAAAATAGCATAGATAAGGGTTTTTTCTAAATAATTATTTAAGCTCAGATCACTTTCCATCTTTTCTAAGTCTTAATAATTACGCTAAGTTTTTGGATCAATTTTCCCAATCATTGCATTAATAGCATCTAATTGATATTCGAATATGTGTATGAGGCGACAATAAATTTAATTTCCTTTTAAAGTCTTTATTACTTTTGAAGCGATTTCTTACATCAAATAGTAATTTTGATTCATCATAATGTTGAATAGTATATATTAAGCATAAAACTTTACATCTTCAAAATGATAAAAGGTTTCTGAATATTCAAATAAGTACTTCTCAGGATAAGGTATGCAATTGTTATTACCTTTATATAAGCTTTCTATAACATAAAGATCCTATTCAAAACCATTATGCTTTTTTTCAAAAATCAACGCTTAACATTATATCAACTTCAAGGAAAATTAGGTCATCAAGTCTGCCAAATCATATTATTGCAGTTATAAATAATTATGAATTAAAGCTAGTACAAATATTGATGGTTCAATATTATCGCTCTAACATTCTAAAATTTATTAATATGCTCCTTTTAAATTGTGATATTACTTTAAGCTACAATTTAAAAATTAGCAAAAGAGTTATTATTATTGCTACTTACATAAACTTGAATCAAATTAAAGCTAATATCCTTTTCTGTTGTTAATTTATGTACACTTGAGAGTTTAGCAATAGAATTTCGATTTAAATTAAAATTTTTTTATTTAATTAATAGCATGTTTTGCAATTTCTGTTTCATCTAATAAAAGATTTTCAATATGCTTAGGAGAATATGCGAAACATACTGAAAGATAATAGAAGACCTATAATTCTTCTAAACTTGAATGAAAAAACCAAGAATCTTATTTTAGTTAAATCTATTAGTGTATCTGCTTTAATAATTCAATAAAGGATTATTAACTTTAACTGCAGAATTTAGTTTTTTAGATAAATTAAGATATGTTATGGTTAACTGGTTAAACGTTATCAAGATGTAAAATAAACTAAATTAATTTAATTCTAAATAATAAATTGTAGCAATTATTCTTTGATTAAGCACATAATTACATTGAATGTTATAAAATTTTTCTATTTTTAAAAGTTGGTTAAATATTCGAGAATATCATTACCTAAAATTTCAAGAGCTCAGAATCATCTGATTCTATTAAGTCTACTTATTTATTGTGGGTAATTTCCTTCCACTTATTGTACTTTATTGTTAAATACTTCCCAACATCGCATTACTCTTCATAATTTTCATCTTGTTATTCAATTTCTTCTTTATTAAGCAATTTAAGTTGATTCAAATAAAATTTATAAACTGGAATATGAGCTCCTTCAATTTGTTGAAATTCTAAATAATATTTTTTAAATTCTTCATTTCT